AATGTTTGATAAATATGGTAAAGTTTGTTTCGAACCTGTGATATAGTAATAATAATAGTGGGCCCATGGAGACAAAATGAAAATTTCCTGATAAACCATCCCATACCAAAATTAATTAAAACTTACTGAGTGCTTTAGAGATGAGAACTGAAAACAAACAATTCATAAGAAGTAAAACCACAAAGACGAATTTAATATGTAAAACTGAATTTTCCAGTATACGACAACTGTATTTCATATTCCTGCACTGTCTGAAATATATTTAATATGATTTACATTTCTTGAGTTGGATATAATCTGATTTTCAGATGCTCGATTGTCATTGTAAAAGGTAAAGCTGTCCCTGTAACAGGCTGTGAAGGCCAACAGGGGTGTGAGAGGTCGAGCTTCCACATCTTCTAGACAGCCATCTCATAGATGGCGGTAAGGTTGTCAGCCTAACGCACTGGCCTCCTTTTTACCCCCCAGGAAAATTCCCGGTACTCATTTCTGTTTGAGGCTGAGTTGACCCCAGGGCCATAGTGAGGCTAAAAGGATTAGGTAAATTGAAAAATCCAATGATCTCATTGGTATTTGATCCCTTGACCTTCTGGCTTGTAGCATAGTGCCTCAACCAGCTATGGTACCACGTACCCTCGGTTGTCATTGTATTAACATATATTTTTTATTCTTTTTTATATTAACTAATGAAATTAAGGTACTTTTATGTGAATCCTATAACTTCAAGGATAAAATAATAATCCATATCTGTATCTTTATTTTAATTCTATAGATCCTTACTGGCTACAGGAATAATAGTAAATTAACTGACTTACATGTAATATAACACTTCATTTTCAACTCTGTAATACATAAATCTATGTTTTTCTATTAATTAAATCATCTGACACAGCCCTCTTCCCCAGGTGTGTGTGTTGGTGTGTGTGGGTTGGAATTTAATGAGAAGAAACACAAATAGCCAGATACCATTATAAGAAATAGTTTATGAAATCCAGTATAAAAATGTTAAAAACACCCCTGTGTCAGACTGTAAAGCAGTACTTTCCCTGAGGTTAAATCTGAGCATGAAGGCAATGCTCACCTCCATATAGTGCTGAGGTCAGAGCTTTATCTCCTCTCTCTCTAAATACCCTCATGACCTAGGCTTAAACACATGGACAGCTTTACCTTGAAAACGTTATTTAGCCTCACAGCAGTATATTAATAAGAATGACATTATTTTTACAGTATGTCAAGTACAGGGTGGGGCACAGAAACTTCCTCTTTTTGAAGGCAAATAAAAGAAAAATTATTGCTTATAGACAAAATTTATGTTTAGCTAATGAAAGAACATACTTTAAAGTTTTAAATCACATAGTTTTAAACAAAATATCTTGAAGGTGGTGGCCACCGTTCTCTATGCACTGATGCAACCATTTTCTGAAGTTCCCCTCTGCATGTTCCAACATGTGCACTGGAATTTGGGCTACTTTCTGCCGAATAACATTTTTCAGCTGAAGCAGGTTTGTGGGGCGATGTTTAAACACCTCTGCCTTGAGGTATCCCCATAAAAGAAATCACAGGGCATTAGATCAGGTGAGTGCACTGCCCACGGGATGTCACCTCAAAGCGAGATGAGCCATCCGGGGAACTTTGCCCTCTAAACCGTCATCGAAGCTCGGGCTATGTGGGCCGTGGCACCATCCTGTTGGAACCAGACATTTTCTAGATGCATTTCTTCAAGAGCTGGCTCGAAAGAGTTTTAATTATGTCCACATACCGCTGTGAATTGACAGTAACTGCATGATTGTCTTCCTCAAATAAATAAGGGCCGATAACTTCAACTCTCGACAATGCACACCATACTGTCACCTTATCATCGTGAAGTGGCCTCTCATGGATCTCTCTGGGATTGTTACCACTGTTATTCGGTTCTGGAAATCATGTGGTGACAATTCTTGCACAACAACCATCTTATAGGGATGGAAATTAAGATGTTCGTGAAGAATTTGGTGCATTGAACGATTGGATATGTCTAGGGCGACTGCATGTTTGTGAGCGGAGCATCTTGGAGATCTCAAAATCGACTGTCAAACTGCCTCCACATTTTCTGGTGTCATAACGGTCCGTTGTCGTCCAGATGATTTTTTCACCACACTCCCGGTTGTCCTAAAGTTCTCTACCCACAAAACAATCAATTTCTGGTCGGGAACCAGACCTCTGGGCTTAATTCCAAAGTGAGTACGGAATGCACGCTGCACCACCATGTAGGAATGGTTGTTCAAAAAATAGCCTTTCACAGCAAACGCACGCTGCTCACTCGTCCACCTCACGTTTCCTACTGAGGGATATTAGACAGAAACTTCCACGACTGCTGCATTCGCCAAGCCTATCCCCACTTTTCTGCCACCTCCCCTCCCTTCACAATGCGTCTTCACAAAAAGGAAGTTTCTGCGCCCCACCCTGTATAAAAAGCTTCCTGAATTCTGAGGAATTTTTATGAGATTTGTTATGGGAGAATATCTTTACAAAAATAAACCAGCTCATTGCTTTGAACAATGCTGATAAAGAACTGTCACACTGGATGCTGGCAGAAGGGAGGGAGACAAGGCAGACATCTGTTCACCTTGAATTTGGGAGGGGGGGAACAAGATCTACATCAATGTTGATAGGAGAAGGAATTATACCAAATATTTATGCAAAAAATAAAAGTATTTAAAACAGTTACTCTTCTGTCCTGAACATTCTAGGGTGATCAGTAAATATAGTCTTAAATGGCTTAAATGTAAGTCTGTAGGCAAATTTTCTGGCTGCTCCCCATAGAAAAGATTCTGATAGTATACCTGACCATCATTTTACAATTTAAAAGAAATGTATGACCACAAATAGTTTGTTTGGATTTCTTTGGAGGAATTTTTATGGCAATAAACCCCCCTTTTTTCATGTGAGTTGAGAAAATTAGGCTACACAAGATCTAATATGTCCCTAGTATTTTACACTGTGATTATTTTCCTGAAATGAGTGTTACTAGATTCTACAAAATTATGCTAAAATTGTAATTAATGTATTTACTGCCAAACCCTAATCCATATGTGTAAAAGGATGAAGTTTACTAGTCTGTCATTATATTTGATAGTAGCCAGAGCAGAAGATGGGAGAAATAAACAGCAATGGAAACTATGCTCAAGTCAGTATTGCAGTGTGCACCTCACCAAATGAAAGATCATAGAGTACATCTAGAATACAAGTTAGTGAGGTTAGACATGTTTGAGGAACTCAGAATTAATTCTGAGTGTTATACACCATCAACAGACCCACTTAGAATATAGTGGGGCAATCCAAAAGTTTCCAAAATTTGAATTTTGCGAACGAATGGTTATGATTACATCAAAATACCGCTAGGTGTCTCCTCACACATCCTTCTTGAATCAGTGTGGCAAGCGGCATCGAGTTGAGTGGTTGGGTTTATTGTTGGTGAACGTATTTCCATTGTTGTGTTTCCGTGAGTTTGCGGTTTTGTGATGGCTGACCTGAGAGAGCAGCTTGTCTGTATAAAGTTTTGTTTTAAACCTGGTAAAACCGCTGAAGAAATGCATCAAATGTTGAAACAAGCTTTTGGTGAAAACAGTTTAGGCCAGACACAAACTTACAACTGGTATAAGCGTTTTAAAAATGGCCGAACATTGACTGTGATGACGATCGTTCGGGATGGCCGTCAACAGGCAAAACACCAGAAAATGTCACGAAAGCCAGGGATCTGATTCTGCAAGATCGTAGATTGACCATCAAAGACCTCTGTAACACCTTGGGACTAAATTATGGTACATGTCAACGAATTTTGTCAGAGGAACTGAACATGAGGAGGATTGCGGCGAAGTTTGTGCCACGACTGCTGCAAAATGAACAGAAGCAGCATCACTTGGAAGTCTGCAGGGAACTTCAGCAACAGCTTCAAGCGGATCCAAACTTTCTTTCGGAGGTTGTCAATGGTGACGAAAGTTGGGTTTATGGCTACAACCCTGAAAGCAAGCAGCAATCGTCACAATGGAAGAGCCCTTCTTCACCTCGGCCAAAAAAAAGCTCGACAAGTCAAGAGCAACATTAAGTTCATGTTGATCTGTTTTTTTATATTGACGGGATTGTTCATAAGGAGTTCATCCCTCCTGGTCAGACAGTCAATAAAGAGTTCTATCACAATGTTCTAAGGCATTTGAGGGAGGACATGAGGAGAAAACGTCCAGAGAAGTGGTGCACGAACGACTGGGTACTCCACCATGACAATGCACAACTGCATACGGCTTACATTGTGCAGGAATTTTTGGCTAGAAACAAGATGGCAGTTGTTCCCCACCCATCGTACTCACCAAACTTAGCTCCATGCAACTTCTTTCTCTTCCCCAAGATGAAAATCAAGTAGAAGGGGTGAAGATTTGATACAGTTGAGGAAATTCAAGCGGAAACGCAGACGGTACTAAACACCCTAACAAAGAAAGACTTCCAGGATGCATTTGATAAGTGGTAGAAACGCTGGGATCAGTGTATGCACTTTGAAGGTGATGGTGCAGAATAAGATCTAGGTAAGATGTAATAGTTTTTATTAATATATTTCGGGAACTTTTGGATTGCACCATGTATTTGAAATCATTTTATCATCAGAAATTATATAACTAAATAATGATATTGATGATAACAACAATTTCCAACTGAAATTTCAATGGGCTCTATGCTAGTACTACACATGCTTTAAGCCACCTTAATTATTCAAAGAGTACAATAGAATTTATCTTCAAATCCTTCACTAATGAATTTAATTCAAAATTGATATAAAATGTAGCATTATTTGTGGAAAGTATACTGATGTATGGCAAACAAAATGCATGCTACATGGTTTGACTGTAGAATTCCGAAAATGGAAAATTACTCTACATGAAGGAAGGAGAAAGTAAAGTATATAAAAAGAGGTAAAATATTTAAATTTACAATACACACATAAAATTGTAGGTATAGATACTTTATCATACCATCTTCTTCGGGATATTCTTGAAGTAAAAAGTAATAAAACTTGCATTAATTATGTTGAGCAAGAGAGCTCCAAAGATATAAAAATATGCCCCAATAACAACAACAACAACAACAATAATAATAATAATAATAATAATAATAATAATAATAATAATAATGAATGTTGTGAAGTTACTCTACAAATATGATCCATAAAAACCAGTATAATATAGTGTTCACAAAATAAATTTATTTTCAGCAAGTTTTCAATCTAAAGTTAGTTGCAGTCTGATAGAACAGCCTGCTGTATTACTCTTGATAAACTGAATAAAAATCAAATAGGTGCAAATCTTATCTTTTTTCTGCCACTAAAATATACTGTATTCAATTTAGAGAAATGGCATTTGATGTGACATATATCATTTACTGTACATTGTTGGTTCTTAAAATGGGTCATGTGTATCTAAAAATTAAAAAAAATTCATATCATTTTCATTCTGATATGAAAGATACAGCATATATGACTGTTGTTTTAATTATGATATTTGGCAAGTTTAAACTATGTGCTAAAGAGTAACACTGAATACACAGTAAGTTTTCTCATGCTGTGTCATGGTAAGCCAATCTGCTAATTAAAAAAGGAATCTACAAGCTAAGATCTTCATTTAGATATGTGTAACAAAGAATAAGTAACTGGGAGGTACAAAACTGTTTAAGAACCAACTATGTAGAGAAAATTCATCTTTAATTTATTTACATCCTTAGACCCAAGCATTAGTTTTTATAGTCCATACTTTACAAAGATAACAGGAAATACTGCCTCCTCATGTGCTATACTTATGAAATCAGAATTCAAAAGATATTATTGATGTACTTTAACATTATTCTCCACATTCTCAACATGTAATTATAACAAGAAGTTGGGCTAAATTTATAAACATTTCTACAAAAATTACATCATAATAAATGAAAATGTGTGCTGTATCTCAGTGAAATGTAATATCTACTAAATTTAGTTCTGTCCAACTATATACACTGGACAACCGCCACACACAGGGTGTGATAAATGTAGCCTTTTCTTGATCCCAGAACTTCCAACCAAATTGTATGGTTAACATACTGCACAGAGAAGTTCACAGTACAGTTAGTAGCACTCTGGCTTAACATTCAAAATATTTTTCATTCAAATCTTGGCCTGGAGACAGATGATTCTGCTTGAGGCTATATGTGATTTTGCTCAGTTCCTTTATGTAAATTCCAGGATAGAACCTCAAATTAGGCCACAATCACTTCCTTCCACATTCTTTCCATTCATTATTCAGTAATCAACATAACATTTGATACTACAGTTTCAGCTACTCACAGAATTGTTAAATAAGCCATACATAAAGAAATAAATAATGCATTATGAGAAGATCAATCATTATTACAATGACAGTCACTTTAAGGAACCAATGGACAGGAAGCAGATAATGATGCAGATAACAATATATGTGATAAGTTCATAGCTTTTAAAAGTTTGGAAAACTATGACTCATGAGAAGGAATGATTTCACATCCCTTTGATTTGATACAGTTCTGTTAAGAAAGATACCTCACCTATGATTCGCCTTCTGTTGTGGCCATGATCATGACCATGGCCATGTTCATGCTTTACAATTTCCACAACATTGGACACTGTGTCAATTAATCGCATATCATGGTGTAGGCCACCTGGGCTTCTCCTTATTGGTGTTGGTGAACGCCCTCGTCTGCTACAAAACACATATGAAACAATGTTTCATAAACAAGCAATACATTACAACAAATATACTTCAGCAGCCTTTGTTGCCAATGTAACCTTAGATATCTGAAAGTTTTACTGCACTTTTATAGCAAGAGTACACACTTCCTGCCTTACTATGAGGTATCTTACAGTACATTTTTACTTACAGATTTCTGATAGAACCAAAATTGTGGCAGCTACATAAATTATCTAACTTAGCACTCAACAAGAGCATGTACCTTCTTCCATAATGTGACACATTCTGTAGTCAGTTTTCACTTAGAGGCTTTGAAAAGTAACAAGACTGTAGCAATAGTTCCAAATATGAGAAACAAAATAATTTATATTATTTAACACTCTTTTAAAAACAATTAGTTTCAAACTGATTTGTTTGTCTCATGAGTTGCAGATGAATAAACTTTTTGGGAATAAGATCTAAAAGTTTGTGATGGTGGTACATTGCTACAAGTATCATGTTTTTGAACATTATCCATAATTTTGTCTATATTATTATTATTATTATTATTATTATTATTATTATTATTATTATTACTATTACTATTGTTGTTGTTATTATTATTGTTATTATTATTGTTGTTGTTGTTATTATTAGAGGGGGTGGGTTTCCCCATGCACTTAGACCAGTTATTGGTCCATTGTGTGTCCCCCTTTAATTTCTACTGTCGCCATACCCTAATGATACTGGTGCGTGCTATCAGCCCCGTTCAGCCAACAAGGTCAGCCGTCAGTACCTGATATTTCCCCCATCTACCAGAGGCATTGGAAACTACTTGGGCAGAAAATTGTTGCCTAATTTTGCTCAGAGGTCTCCTAGAGACATGAGGATCTTTTACATGCCGTAAATCTATGACACGGGACCCACAGCTTAAAGTCCCTCCCAGAAGACTTGTTCCCTGAATTTTTCCGCCCTTAAAAATTCCACGACCTCCGCCGGGTTTGAACCCGCGTACCTTGAGTCATGAGGTGGGAACGTTACCCCTAGACTACAGAGGCCGCTTTGTCTATATTTAAAAACTGTCCTGTTTATTTTTGAAAACACAGTGTTTTGGAGACTGAATTCTGTCTCCAGTCTCAGGTCCTCTGGACCAGAGATAGGGACTAGCTCTGTCTATTGGACCCAACTGAGTAGGTTTTACCCGAGGACGGTGACAGACTCCTGTCTCAAAAAAACGCTTGCTGATGGATAATGTCCAAAAACATATTACTTATAGCAATTCTTGGGCTATTCTGTGCCTACATGTTACTTAATATAACGAATAATACATATGACCCATTTCAAGAATTGAAGTAAAAGAATACATTACTAAACATTATGGAACTGGAACTGATATCTATTAAAATATGTACATGATTAGGGTTTTTTCTTATTATCAAACAGATCTTTTCCAAAGTGCACAAGATGAAAACATAAAAGGGAGGCTGTATTAATCCACAAGTTTCAACTTTCTTGGGAGATTTCAATGAAATTATGTATACCGAATCTATAAAAAGTTCCCATGAAGATTTAAATATTTTGATTTGTACTGGTCAAATATAAACCATACTTTAGATGGAGTCCAAAATAAACTTCAACACTATTCTCTGGGGGGTGGGACATCTCATCATAAAATATAATTGTTCATGCAATAAAATATACCAAATAATCTTCATTTATTTATTTCTGTTTTTGGAGAAATTACATACTAGTGTTTCTACTACTAATAAGATTATGATAGAGATGTGATAAACAAGCTACTGGAAGATCATAAAGTAGGTTTCATTGAAAATATACTGAAAAGTAACATGAAGCAATATATTATGGCAGGTAGACCCATTGCTAGGCAATGACCATGAAATAAGTAGCTATACAATAGCTGCTGTTAAGTAATGGCTCTGTAAACAATGGTTGTTGCTAGTTAATGGCCACAACAGATGTGCATGCAACAATAGAAGAGCTGTTGGAAGAGGTGTTCTCTGTGTGGACCATGCAGAAGGTATATAATGAGGCCCAGCTACCATTCTCAAGAAAGTCTTGAGATAGCTGTGAGAAGAATAGGTTGGTGTGAGATGGCTGCCAGCCTGGGAGTTAGTTACTGGAGTGAGTTGGTTGGTGAGTGAGTGAGTGAGTGAGTAAGTGAGTTAGAGGACTACTGTGGTTCAGTCCTTTTGGGTTGTTGCTGTTAGAAGCTGGTAGCTGAGGAATGAGGGCAGTTAGGGAACCCAGAGGAAGGGGAACATCCACCATTAGAAGCTGCTGCCAAGCAACAGCTAGTTGAGATTGTAACAGACTGAGAACACTAGTCTGTGTGTGACAGTGATTTGCAACATGTAGTCATGAGTTATGTGTTAAACAGTTCAACAACTCCAATTACGAATCCAAAACCTATCTACAGTCAGGCTCAATCACGTTAAAATATATAAAACATTGCCATAAGATTTATATATTATGTGGTATGGATTATGATTTGAATTAACATTCAAACAGTGAATACAGAATATTCGTTTTTTTGAAAAATCACTTTAATTTTTAATGACAGCATATTATCTAAATCGGTGAGGTTATGGATTATTAATACAAAGAAACAAATTGTAATTATTTTGCTAAAAGATTTACATCAGCAATATGAACAGTAAGGCACGGGGCATGTACAATCACAAGCATGTGCTTGGAAAATATGTATACTCCAAACTGAAGCACAACTTTCTACCCCTGTTATGTGAGAAGGTTCTTATGCTCTACTGTATGACTTCCAAAATGACTTCTAATCTTGCATTGGACTCTGCCCAACATAAGAAAAGACACAATCAAGACCAGCAAAATAATATTTTCTCCAACTGTGACAGTTAATTGAAAGGTAGATTCTTCAGTTACCTTGGACTGGGTGATCTTGACCCAGATCGTGTCATGTGAACTGAGTGGCCTGGTGGATGTAGGCGTTGGTCTGTCAGAGAATCAGGGGATGGGTGGCGCGAACTAATGATTACATCCTCCATCACCTGGCAGCACAAAACAACAGAATATATGAACATGCACTCATCTTTGTTACATATAAAGTATGTTTCTTACTTTTGTTTTTGTGACTGAGAAAAGTGGAACACTTATGATAGCAATTAAGAAAACATATCAATCATTTTTGACTATTGCATATTCAGTATTTACTAATATAAATTTACTTCATTTAGTTTTCTTGTCATTAGATTGTATTTTTCTGGGTCAGGACACCGTATAGTCTATTAGATAGTTACTGTTTCAGAGAAAATGCTGCCTCCATCATCAGGGTAGGAGGTTGCATGTTCCTCAAAAATGCTGGTAGCCACCCACTGGATTACATACTGCCATGATCCAGAAAACCATAATCTAAACATCAACATATTTTGTAATATTCTAACAGTAGCACAATATGCAATATTTAAAAACATGCATATAATGTCCGTAACCCAAATTATTTTGGAGTAGTTCATTATTAAGCAGATATGATCCTCAAATTAAATAAAACAGTCTACTAAATGCTTGAAAAATATGTTTATACTATTATTTATAGTAATCAGAGCATAAAAAATACTTTAATATTGTAAAGCTTGCTTTCCATATAAGTATACAAGAACATGATTTTTATGTCATAGAATGGGCAAAGTGACGTTAACTATATGCAGATATAAAAAGAATACACAGTGGTTAATGAGCATAAAACGACAAACTAAACATTAGTATAAAATATTTCAGTGCCATGCAAGCCATATAAAAATGTAATATCATGCAGACAGAAGTATGCATACAAACTACTGGTGCATTAAATTTATATTTTCTATCAGAGCGTAGTAATGAACATGAAGATTATGTGCAGCTGTAACATGGGTTTCCCACTATGCACAATCACTGCACTGCTTTTCATCTACTCTGATGAGTTAGCAATGGTGTTACAGAGGAAATGAATTTTCTTATAGTATTCACTTATGACTCATGCTAGATTTCTTTGAATAGGCCATGGAAAAGTTTACACTATACAATTGGGTATATCAAAATTAAAATTATTTGAATTGTATCTCTGCTACGAAGAGCCAGAGAAAATTCAGAATAAAGTTTCTTGGACTACAGAAATATGCACTATTCAGAATCTTGTCAAGAAGGTAAAAATATCTGGGGTGTTTAAAGACAGGAAACCAGAAAGTCAACATTGGGTATTTACAGAAGAAAGGTTGGATGAAACTGAGGTTGTCATGAACATTCACCTCATCTCTTAAACACCCTGCACAAAAAATGGAGGTATCACAAGGGCGTGTGAGAATTGCTACACAGTACTGAAACTATGGTCTTACAAAACCAAAGATCTGTTCTCTTTGCAGCCACATCATCTACTTGTCAGTTATCATTTCTGTGACTTGTATTTTTGGTAAATTCTTAAAGATGGACATGTTCCTGAGTTGACTTACTTCAGATGAGGGTTGTCTCACTTTTATTTCAACACAAGAATCCACAAAATAACAAGGCACTACAATGAAGAAAGTCCCTAGCTTGTATATGAGATTCCACTCCATGATGTAAAATTTGGTGTTTACTGCAGACTGAGTGTAAGGAGGATAACTGGACCTGCATTTATGCAGAAACAATCAATTCTAATAGATATGTCATGCAGATACTGTAGACTGAGTGTGAGGAGGATAACTGGACCTGCATTTATGCAGAAACAGTCAATTCTAATAGATATGTCATGCAGATACTGCAGATTTCTTTCAGGCAACTGAGCATACTGCCAAACATTTCATATAGACCTTGAAAAGAGTACTTGTTGAAGGTGTTATATAAATCATGGTCATGGACATTCTCTTCTAAAAACATTACTCTGTGATTTCTTCTTTTGGAGGAATTTAAAAGATAACATTTTTTAACGAATCCACGATCAAAAGAAAAACTCAGAGAAAACATGTTACTTGAAGTGTCTCACATATTCAGAGAACTACAGGCTTTGATCCAGAATCAGATTCTAAGGTATGAGGAATATATCTGAACCAACAAAGAACCACAAAAGTTACTGCACTTTCACTGTGGCTACAGCTGAGAAAGCTGGAAACATGGTAAATCAATATAGTGTTTGTGCACAGGGGAAAAGCTTTGGCTCATCCTGCAAATAACCTCCTTGCATTTAACCTATCTACAAGTAGCATATGAAACATACATACACTGAGGTGTTCTGCAGTCTATGATATAAATGCAAGGATTATACTCATATTCTGTTTTTGGCAGTAACAATATCCCACACTTCTCTATATGAGATGGATACACTCTGTGACTTTGATCTTCAAAAAAACTGATTACCAATATGAAAACTTTTAATTAAACCCTAATATTTATATCTCAATTATTTCTTACATATTGCTATAAATTACATTAGTCTTTGAAGCACTATGTCCACAGTTTTCTAGAGTATAAAGGCTTAACTAAATTCACATAGTAACGCAGGCACTCTTATGAAATTGATATGATTATGTAGTACTGCCACAGTTATTAACAGCAGATGAGTAAATGAGATAATAATATGGTAAATTTTATGTCTCAAAATTAAATGCTTAATGCTTTAAGGAGCTTATAGTTTCTTACTAACTGAATGGATAATGGCTAAGTTTCACTTACAAATAAATAATACAAACATTTCATCTGACCAGAAGAAATAAATGAATTACAAGATTCTGGCACAAGAATAAGACAGTATCACCAGAAGCACTAAAAATTCACCATAAGTGACAAAAGCCCCAGAACTTGTGTGTTACAAGACGTATCTGGTTTGATTAGATATAAGCAATGTGATTAGCTGGTCTGCATTCAAAACTGTCATTTGCTATGCTCATTTCTGATTATGTAGAAGAATTATAAAAAATCAACCAGTTTTGCTATCAACAGATTCTGTAATATGGACATTTCCCAAATTCAAGAAGTTTTATTTGCAGAAATTTGAGTAAAATTATTTTAATAGCAGCTAATACCCTCCACTGTGGCAGTCTTATATAAAATAAGCTGTGGACAAAGGAGTGAGAACACAGTACTAACACAATGCAGACAAAGTGAGACAACATTATTTTCATTCAAATCTTTACAGGGTACATTAATTGGAGGTAAAATTAATGAAAAATTAAATTATTTTTTGGATACAGCATGAATCACTGAAAACTAAGAGAGATAAAAATTTTGAAGGCCTGTCATATAACATGTTTCAACCACTGTAACTACTAAGAGTATTCCTGATCTCTTGTTCATATCTGCACCATTATACTGACTGTTTTTGTACTATGGGTAAAATCACTAAGATCGCTTAGTAAGATAATTGGAGTCCTGAGTCAGTCTTAATATCATTAGAAGTGTTCAGTGCTCAAGTAAAGACTTATAATTTGGGTTTCCCAACCAGTTATTTCTGTTAGGAATTTTCATTCAGTACAAGCAGTATAAAGTGTTAGTGGTTGAAGTGTAATATAGCAGAAAGTCTGGTGTATATTCCAGTTCAATCCACTCTTCAATTCAGGAATTTGTATTTTACTCACTTCCGCTTGCAGTTTTATTCTCCCTTTTGATAAGTAAACAGAGCTTTGATAAATGTAAGATAGTCATTATACGAATAATTCTTAACATGCTGTGCCATCAGGCACTTAACCATATGTGGAAACACACTCTTGGCAACAGAACATATACACCTTGATTGTGCCTGTGGCAGAGAACACTGATGTATCTACATCCAAGATATTTCTACATATATTATTATGTTAATTTCTCACTGGTCATAATAAAACAGAACATGCTATATAAAGACACCTAACACAAAAATTAAGATCCTGACATTAATATCTAGACACATTCTACAACTTTTTAGAGCAAGGAAACCATTATTAAGTAAATGTAAATATCTAAAAATTCCAGGCAAATAAGATATTATTTCTAATGATATATCCATTAAATACACAAATAAGGCTATTAGTAATATCCATACTCCTCATATATCTATATATTAAATATATAATATTGTGTTGATACAAAAATACAACATTTTTAAGTACCCCTTTAAGCACCATCAATATTTGTGGTTAGGTAATTCTACAGTTGCTAGGTTTAGCACTAAATGACTATATTTCTAACTAGAGTCCAGCTATAAAATCCCATCTTACTCATATATATGCAACAGGAAGGACATTATAATAGGGATGTGAATTTGTTTACATTGCTAAGAAACACACAAAAGAAGTGACTATGATAAACGTACAGAAATGAAAACAGATTAACAAATTACACAAAACAGTGTGACAAATCCCCTTTAATGCCTGTGATGCCTGACACTATTAAGCGTTCCGTATATAATGCCTCCTATTTTTTTAATGAAAACTACAACAGATACAGAAAGCTTAATAACGCAGTTAAATAGAGCAATATTTAAGCTACTTACAGTTATTTTTCCACATAATCACCACCATTCGTTATGCACTTTTGCCAGCAATGAACAAGAGCCTGTATGCCGCACCTGTAAAAGTCTGCACCAGCAGAGGCTAGCCACTTTCTTACAGCTTCAATGACAGCATCGTCTGGAAAATGTTACCCACGTAGTCCATCTTTCATAGGCCCAAAAAGATGGAAGTCTGAAGGTGCTAAATCGGGGCTATAAGGTGGATGTGGTAGGACAGTCCAGCCAAACTTTGAAATGTGCGCGGTGGTCGCCAAATTGGTATGGGGTCTAGCATTATTGTGTTGCAAGCGAAAGGTTGTCTGCTTGTCTGGCCTGACTCGGGAAATGCAGGCTTTCAGCTTAGTCAGTGTCATCTTATAGCGTTCAGAATTGACAGTCTCACCAGGCTCCAGGAAATCCAACATCATCACACACTGCCTATCCTAAAAGACCGTGCACATCACTTTCCCTGCCGATGGCTGTGTCTTGAACTTATTTTTTCTTGGGGAATCCAGATGTCGCCACTCCATGGACTGTCTTGGATTCTGACTCGTCGTGGTGGTGACACCATGTCTCATCTCCGGTGACGATGCTATCCAGAAACTTGTCACCTTCAGCCTCACACTGGTGCAACAGGTCCTGACAGACTTCCATTTGATGAGTTTTGTGGTCCTGTGTAAGCATCTGCGAGACCCAGCTGGAACAAACTTTGCGATAATCCAGCTACCCCAACATCGTTTCCAATGCATTACAGCCGATATTAAGCCGTGCACACAGTTCCCTGGTCATTATCCGTTGATCTGTACAGATGAGCTGATCGAGGTGCTGTTCATTGTGAGGAGTGGCAGCTGAGCAGGGACGCCCAGGGCATGGCTTGTCGTGCACTTCACTTTCGCCCCTGTTGAAACGCACTACCCACCGCCTCACTGTGCTGACATCCACTGTATTGTCTCGGTACACCTTTAGCAAGCGTCGATGGATGTCAATGGGTGCAATTTGTTCAGCAGTGAGAAATTCAATAACACATCTCTGTTTCATATGCACTTCTATGTCAGATGCCATTTTGGTACACTGCTCTGCTGTCACTATCTGTCGCACGACAACCAAACTAACAGTACATTGGCAGGAAGGTTCAACCTTTACTACAACAGCACCAACATCCAGCTCAGACATTACATATTAACGCAAAAAAAAATTGGAGGCATTATATACGGAACGCCCTTCATAAAATGTTCCTGCAGTAATGAATGAGAATGAAGACGTACGGAACAAGAATAAGAATCAAAATATGTGGTAAAGTCATTACGTTCGTGGAATGTGGTTTTATCGAATTATATTACAAGGTATTCACATACACTTATGCAGATCCACATCGGCCCTCAAAATAGTTGCCTTTGGCCGCTATGCAAGTCTGCCAACGTTGATATAGCTGTCAAAAACATTGCTGAAACATATTGACAGTAAATTCCCGTATGACACTTTGTGGCCATTCCACGAACTTATTGACTGTGGTAGTATATCTAGAGGAGAATCTAGAAGGATCTTACAGAACAGAATATTATGGAATGAATGGATTTAAAATTGTATGTTGGAAACAGGCTTAGTAGTCTGAGTACAAAGTTGTCAAAAAGAAGATTTCAAAGGTGAGTTAAGTTCTACGTATGAGCCTATGAATGCATAGGTTGGGGATGCCCAGATCAATCAAGGTGAATTCCATTAATTAACACGAAGAAAATGTGAGTCTTTCATTGTTGATGTAACTGTGTAAACTAAAAAAACTACAAATACACTAGGGTTAAAATGTCAATTGTAAGAAACTGCACATTTTTTGCCCTGTGAGAATCTGGACTCCAGCTATATGATAATCGTCAATTAACAGTTAGTTTCCAGATATAGAACCACTACAGAGTAAATGAGTAGAAAGGGTGATACTGCATCATCAAACACTAATATTAACATCCCTTATTGCCACACACTAGACACTACCAGTATTCACATTAACACCTGTACCACCAATAACACTATATGCTACCAATCAATATCACATTCATACTGTAGCCTAGTCCTTATATTAGAAACATGTGGGTACAGAGGAACAACATGACAACATCCAGGCTCTTCTCATCAAAAGGTTTGTCTGCATGAGATTCTTTATTTTCATGGCAGTAAAAAAGTAGATTTGGCCTTCTGACTATGCAACTATGGTTAACAACGCTTTAATGCTACAACAGCATAGTATGCCTCTATAACTGGTATTATAAATAACATGTTCACACATATATATATATATGTATATATATATTGTTTTAGTTCAGCTGTATGGTTATTGTGGCACCAGTCACAATATGTCCATAAGACACACTATGTAGAAAACAGTAATAACACTAATAAGAAATAGCAAGGTAAGACAGAGTTATCTCTGGGAGTAATTAATTAAGTATCATGATATTAAGATGTGTGGGGGAGTGGAGGTATAGCTCAGACTTTCTTGACCTCTGTAAAAGTTGGGGGTAAATAGTCAGCTTCATGCTCCTGCCACTCTATCGCCAGGGAAAGAACCCCTGGTACCCATTGGATAGGAGGCTCTGTGGGCCCCAGAGGCAGTCTGGATGTTATAGAGAAGACACAAATCTTTTGCCCCTTCTGGGAATTGAACCGAGATTCCTTGGTCATCCAGTACACAGGCTAGTCGATATACCATCTGAGCTAATCTGGCTCTCTGCAAGAAGCAGTAATAAACGAAACAGAATAAAGTAAAAAAGATGGATGATAGTCTTCTCTTTAATGCTAATGTTACATGACAACAGTGTGGGAGAAGGATATTGAAACTTACAGAATATAATTATCTAGCTGGATATGTGGAAGAGGCAAAATCCAAATTGTAGGTAAGCTTCCTCTAAGTAACACAACAGAAACATTTTACCTCTACTTGATGCTATTTCTTTTTTTTTGGTGGGAAAAGGAGAAAGAAACAATTCCATACTTGTGAACCAAAACAGATGACTTTTTAAATTCCTGAAAGAAAAAGATGTCAGTATCATGTTCCATTGTGTATGGCCAGAAAAAACATTTCCTATACTCCTGAAGAGTGATCATCACAGATGAGTGGTTAGAAATCCTGTTTCATGTTTTGGAAGTCCTAAGTTAAAATCTCACACAAGGGTCTCCTGGTTTTCCTTAATCTTCCAGGCAAATAATGAGTTATTACTTAAAACTGGTCATGATTTCTTAATTTCACAACCAATTCAATTCATCACAACAATCATTATAATATCAGATGCTTACAAAACCCATGCAGCTGAAAAAGTTTCATGAAATAATTCCTGACTCATTTAATTCAACCGACTCCTGAACTGATTAGGCAGGTGAAGCAGTGTCACTGCAGGCCTGTATTTGGAGAGATCAGACTTGAATCTCATATGGTTACCAGTTATCTTGACTTACAATTTTATGGTTTTCTTCAGTGTCTATGGTGAAAGTTTGGATAGTTCTTTAAAATAAGCAACGAATGTCACCTTCCAAATAACTTGCCTATTCATCATTCATGATCATATTTCCATTTTGGTCACAATGTACAGCTACATTTATTAAAATAGTATAATTAAATAACCCAATAATCAATCTAATCCTGAATTTCCATGAATTTTCTTTTTCTGTAACTTTTAATATCATATAAAGCAGGTAACTGAGGCAGTATCACAATAGTTAGAGGCAAATAATTCCATTCAGTGATCAGCTTCTCAGCATATTTCATTCACAGAACATATATTCTTAGCAACTATTAGTTTTAGAGCTCTGGATGAAGCCATTATATTTTAAGTTACGATCATTCAACTATACAATATACCCCAGCAGGTACATCACCAACTGCCACCACAACACCCTTCACCTTTTTAGTCCTGTAACAAACAGAAACATAACTGTTAGGATCTCCTTTAAATGCTACTTCGTCCACAATCTTCTTGAAGTGGAATGAACGTCTTACAACAGATGAAGGCTCATTTCAAAAGAATGTTTCTCACAATATTGCTAAACACTGTCTATGAAGATGAAAAAACTAGACATAACAGAAACCACAGTAACAATTATAATCTCCCAGTTCTGCTACTACAATACTCTTCTTTCAGTTACCATGACTACATAGCGTATAAGAGGAATATTTTGGTAGAGTAAATGAAGTGCTGTATTTATCAGATTACTGGGGATGTTCTTCATATTGTAAAATGTTAAGTACAGTCTATATTGACAGTAGAAACATCCATAAAATAATAACAGTGACCTTCTAAGAGTAAGCACAGAGCAATGTTGTACACTTTGAAGTTTATATTTAATTTAATACACTGTTCGCAAACTACACATTAGTGAAATTTTAAATTTGATAGTGATTAATACTTTATCTGTGGCTCTTCTTACTTTTGCCCTTCAGAGATGAATGAATGTGCAGTGTGTAAATTTGTCTGTACAAAGAAATTGGATTCTTATACACATTTATGTACTGAAGTTAATTGCAGACCCCATTATTTCAACATTCCATTAAAATTTAATATGAACTACAGAGGTTTAAATGTAGTCAAGATATATCTGCAGTTTTATAATTTCTGCATTATTTCTGCACCAGACAGGGACACACTTCAACAGGAATCACCTCAGTAAAAAAGTCTAAATACTAAATATGTTAAATATTTATTATAGAAATAAAAATTATGATTCTCCTTTCCTCCTGTTTTAATGGAGGAGAACTGCAATTTTATTTCTAACAACGGAGTATGGCTCATATTTCTCTAGAGAAGACCTGCAGAATTCCCTCTACACCTCACCAAATGAAACAAATTTACTGTCCTAGCAATATAAGAGACACCTTCAAAAATGCGAGATTTTATGTTCTCATGATAGTGACTATGAAGATTACTATCTTCTGGAATGTGATGAGGCAAGTATTGCTTGCTGCTTGCTTACTGAGCCTACTCTTTGACCCTGAAGAAGGCAGCAGTATGTTTCCCCAAAACATCGGGGAATGTCTAACAGACTACATGAAGGTACATCACAGAAGACAGTATTCTTCAGTCTGAAGAATCTCAATATTTTTCTGCTGGCTAAACTATTAGGGAATTCCTGAAATATACAATGAATACTTATATTATGGCACTTTCCATGGTAGCTGTAGACAGACATGATATTTGGACCATAAACATACAATCCAATGAGGTAATTATTATTGTCAGTCTGAATGAGATGGCTGAAAGATATACAGCATGATTTTTTAGAACTGAAAGCAAGTTGATAAATGCAAAAAAAAAAAGAGAGAGAGAGAGAGAGATAATAATCGGCATCGGTCATAAAGGAGGCCAAGATTATTGAAGGACCATGGAGCACTGGAGTGAGTAATTATTATAGCCTACAGATATTCACCTGAAACTCTTGCGTTGTGTGTTTCTATGGGACAGAAGATTGGCTTCTTCAGTTGACTCAGGTTCCAGATTGCCTGTTTTGGAGTTGCCAGTCCATTGGCCAGCCGCCATGTCCAGGAGGCAGTTAAAAAATGATGACCGCTGCCCACAAAACAACTTAACATTGTTATATACAGAGAAAAAAAAAAAGAGTACTGTATCATTTGGCTCTCATATCTCAGCCTTGCTACGTCAAAGTATTTTTTTCACTCTTATTTCTATGTATATTTTAATATGTGATAAATTATGTTAATAAATTTTGAAACTGTGAAAGTGTATGTAAGTGCCAGGTGATTTCTATTGCTCAACTAGCTTGCTAGTCATATGGTGATGCATCAAGATGACAGCTATGGATACAGTCTTTGGGGTGGACATTTAAGCCTTTCATAATACCCACTAATATGCATATCTTCTATAACATATGTAAGAACTATGGTGTTGCCTTACAAGCTATTTATGTACTCTAATCTATATAGTAATCAGTCACTAATGATAAAATTACAAACTACATTTTCATAGGGATAATCTGTCATATAAACTAAATGCCAAGCATAAATAAATAATAAATTTAAAATATTGTATGCCACTATAGAGGTTACAAGATGAAGACAATTCTATTTTAGTGAAAGTTCTGATATAGACTGTGAAGATTATGTATTATTCCTGAGAGAGACTTATGATTAATATGAAAACGAAAATATATGCCAGCAGTTGAAAAGTATAACATCAAAACAAATGACAGACAGAAGTAAGTAATGTAACTAGCAGATGAAGAAAGAGAGAACTCATGTAAGTAGTAGCATTTTACAGTTTGTGTTGCAGTACATACATACTAGTAATCCTAACACTGCTACAAACAGCAAGGAGGTATATTTAGGTACATCACCTGATATAGAGCCATTCATTTTTATAGACCCTCAGTCTCTTTTCCCAACAACTTACATGAAGAAAGAATAACAAATCTCACGTTCAATTTCTTGAGCACAATTTAAGAAGTCCCGCATCACAAAAATTCAATTCTTTAGCCAATCATGGTAACCAGGTGACATGATCTATACACATCCATATACTCAACTAACCCATGCTGGCACAAATAAAGCTTTTACTGCTACAAATAAAGCTTCTACTGGTACAAGTACTAGTATCAATATATGGCACAACCTACAGCACATTCATTAATCATGCAACAGCAGTCATTTGAACATGCAAAAAATGGAAGTCATGCCAGTATGTACTTTCCACTGTCAAGCCAATATACATTCCAGCAGTTCTGAAGGCAATGATTCTTACATAATAAACACTGACATTATAGCATTATATCATTCCACAGAATGAGAGAATTTTCATTGGCATTCTAAACTGCTGAATACAGTAATGTGTTTGTCATACACCAAAAGTGCATTTCAGTGGTCTGCCAATTTTAAAACCATTATTAGTTTTATCCTATCATGCATTTGGTGTACTATTTTGAAACATTTGTATTTTCAGATATAATTTATTGACTTCTGGTATATACAACTTCTTTTATCACCTGAAAAACACCAGGATTTCAGGCTTCTGTGTAAACAAGGTAAAACTTTCAAGTCAGAACTAACTCCTCAAGAGCAAATAAAATGGCAATATTGTTCAAAACTCTATTTTCAGAGTCATGCTATTATTTTCAAAATGTGACAATTTTCTAAGGTTTAATTCTTTCTGTTCTTTTTATAGCTGATGTCTAACTTAACTGAAGATTAACATCTTCCGGGATATGATAATGTGTAGTTTGGCTGACTTTAATGATGATAAAAATCTACCAGACTACACAGTATTATACTCCAGCAGAAGATAGCAATCTTCTGTCACTACCAAAGGAATGTAAAATATATATATAATTCATATGTTTGAATCATACAAAATGAGGGACCAAAACGAGAATCCAAATGGGAAATATAGAGCATTCCAGTAATAACAGATTTAATTATAATGCCAATAATGAAATATAAATATCAAATTAAAGCTGGTGATAGAGTTTACTTTCTGAGCTATTTATGAAATATTTCCATTATTATTAGCCCATTATGAATGACTTGATTTCAAAATAAATTAGGATTAATAAAATTAGGGTATCTATCTAAAATTACTGTTCCTGTATTTCAAAAGAGTATTACATAAAAAGGGCAACTTTACTTCCATTAAACTTCATGGTCCAAAACAGATGTAAACAATTTTAAACAGTAATAGCAACTGATCTGATTTACAACTTACAAATGGTGCAGTGTGGAAGACCAGAGTTTTCATGTGTTGAGCCACTGCTTAGAAACTCTCATATACAAAAATAATAATATTTGATCATAAGATGTCTTAGTTCAACTGACAGACCAACTTGGAAATAGAGCACTTATTGAATATGACAGTACAGGGAGATCTATGTAGACGGCAACTTTATGCTGAGCATGGCACACATACTGCAAATACATATACATTTTAAAGGGGAAGAGAGGAGGCAGTGAGTGAGGGCCAGCACTGGTACCAAATATGTAACTTATTTAGACTCAAGAATTTTCACAACCATCAAAAGGATTTTGATATAAATTTTTCAAACATGTGAAGAAATGTTCATATTATGACAGTATGTTGAGGATTATAAGAGAGTCTAATATCACAAAGAATTTAGATTTTCTTTCATCTTACTTCTTCAGACCAAGATAGTTACGCAGTATACATACCAAAAAACCTGCAACAAATATGGAACTATATGTATTTTGTATACCTGGATGAATGCAAACAAACCACTCTGTGCCAACAGTCATTACTTCTGTTCCAGATTTTAAAATTTGTGATTACAATGTGAAGAAACCATCATTAGTCCTAAGTAAAAATTAGTGCCAATAAGGCTCCCCCTATGCACTATATATTTAATTAGAATATTTTGTAGAGAATGATAGATTAGTAAAATGTTACAAATTTCCATGCCTCTGATTGAAACTGTCCTCCCACACTATTTTATTTCATAATTTTATTAGTTATCAATTTGGTACCAATGAGACATATGAATCATTGGCTTGCCTTTCTTGCTACATGGAGTTAAAGAGAGGTGGGAGCATAAAACATAAATGAAGAAAGCTGAAAATGGGCAAAGATATGGAAGATGGCAGCTGCCTTGTTTTCACCAAGATTCATACGAAACAAAAAAGCAAATGGCTTCAAATAATTTTCTTTTTAATTAAATTGAAATGTAAGTATATTGTTTTAATGCAATCCATATTTATATATTAAAAATTGAAAAGTAATACATTTCCAGACTTGAAAGTTTTAATTTTTAAATGATTAAATAAACCACACAGAAGGTAAAATTAAAATATTTCCTTCAAACTGTCACTTAATGCTGAGTTGTACATGAATCTTGGTTAAAATAAATACTGTATACAAAATGAAGAATAAGAAACATATAAATAAAAGACTGTGTTCTCTACCAGAAGTTGGAATAATGAAAGTTCTATATAAAGAATACTACCGCCTCAATTTTGGAGGGACTAAGACCACCACAGTCCTGAAACCAAACACATACATTATTGGACTGCTAACTCCTTTCAGTGACCAGTGGTACCAAGGCTTCTGTTATTGTGCACCTTCAATGGTAATATAAGACTTGAACTTGAAGCAGAAATACACAAAACGTATCAGTAATTTGACTGTAACACTGAAGAGGTAAGTATCACCTTAATACAAATGTATAATGTGGTGTCTGGTAATGACAATTAAATGTATCTGTTTCAAATCTGTACTAGTTACTACTTTAATAAACACTAACTCTTATATAATAAAATGAATGGAATATAAAATAAGCAAATTTAAAGTAGAATTTTTTGAATGCTGAAAACGCTTAAATTGGGATGTCATCTTGTTACGTCAGTATAATTATATTTTTTAAGCGTTAATTAATAACATCCTGTTATATAAAGATGAGATAGGTAGTCAAGATTCAGTGCATGATTCAAGCCTGATTTTATGTATTTTTACTTGCAGTACATTTTAAATTTCTTATTGATATGTAAAGAATCTACACTAGTAATAATAATACAGGCAAGCTAACAAATTTTGTAAACTATAAAGCAGCTATTGAAACCTTGAAGATGCCAATTCTAGCCATAGTGCACCTGGTCACTACTATGTGTGCCCCACTGCACAAACACTGAATGGACTTGGTATGCTAACAGCTAAGGGTCAAGCAGGCTGAAGACTGGACTTCGATGACCAACATCCTGGATCCTGTACTTCAGGAATTATAATTCTAAAATTAAACTGAAATTAATTAAATTACAACTGGCTTAATAAAGCTCTTATATGTTCATTATTAAGTAGGGGAGAATTCATAAAAATATGATTTAATTCGTGCCTTCATTGCTAAGAGAACCCTTGCATGAATAATGACAAAATTTACATATAATGCATCAGTTTTATTTCGTCAATTCAGTATGATAATAAGTCATGACACATCTGTTTATTAACTCATAAGACATATTATCTGAGTCTTTCTTCACAAACTGCCTATGTGAAACCATTCGTATTTAAAAATAAACTCTAAAAACTGTATCCTACATCAATGATCCAAGAAATATTATATTCTGTCCTGCATCCAATTGCGATTCACAGCCAGTGAAGTAACTAATGTTACCAGAACAGATGTTCCACAGCTGTCAAATGTGACATGGGGTGTAAGTATTATTATTACAAATTATAATGGATTTGTCTTGTCTGAGAGCAACATAAAACTGAGTTTTTGAAAACATACAACAAAATATGAGAGAGAGAGAGACTGCACTGTTGGTCACATTAACCACCACTTTATAGGTCCTTAACTAAGGTGGAATGATGTCCAATCCACAAGCCTGCAAGTCCCATACTATGGAGCAGGGTCACTGCTAACCTCTACACTACACCACACCACACACCCACACACACTATGGCTGGCTGCTGCCCACGCTGACAATGCCACAAAAGCACAGAGTTCAAGTCATCTGTAACACATATCTCCTAACATAGCCATGTTAAACTCACAGATGGAATGCATATGTGTGCTGTAATCTTCTAGGGGTGAAAAAACTTATAATCATCTGAGGAGTCTTCTGGTTGTAACACTGTGTAGTCTGAAGGCAATCCTATACTTCAGAAGAATAGTTTGCCTCCAGCTACATAGTACTACTACCTAGAAGACTGTAAACTTCATAGCTAGAGCCATGAGAACCTCATATCCAACATATAATCTTACTGAACTAAGTTTAGCTTCATTATAACACCACAAAGCAAAATAGCACTGATCTTGTTACTGATAAACTGATGTAAAAACCTGGTAATAATAATAAATATGAGAAGAGGCAGATCACTTACCCATGTAAGAGCCCAGAGGAACCCACATCAGAATCTGATGAAACAGATTTTCTTCCACAACAAAGAATATATCAACAGAAGACAAAGAATAACAAGACATATAAAAGAAAACTAAGTGCCACTGGCTACGTGACAGCTATCTTTTAAATTGTACTATTATAAATAAACTGTATGTAAGATTTGAGGCTTTTGCGGCAGTGACTATGAAGAAAGCAGTCTTCTGGGATTTGGCACCGTGTATATGTGGTGTTAACCGACACAGTCTGCTTTTACCGGTTCTCACGGTCTCTTCACTTGCAGATTTCTTATATTTTTTCTTCTACCCTGAAGATGGAGGCGATACGTTCCTCCGAAACGTCGGTTAACACCACATATACACGGTGCCAAATCCCAGAAGACTGCTTTCTTCAAACTGTATGTAGCTTTATAAATTTCTTTAATGAAAGTAATGTTCCTTCTTCACAATTCTACTGACCAAGATGGCAGTGTGGATTGAAATGTAACTTTCACGAATCTTTAGAAATGCAACACAAATTTTGTAACCAAGCAGGTTAGTGTAACTAACACTTTAGAACTGTAATTGGGAGGTGCTTGTCTTGAATCTTGGCTGGGGCTCCAGTTATCCTGACAGGAATTGTGGCTTATCTCAGTTCCTCCAGGCAAATGCTAGAACAGTATCTAAATTAGGTCATAACTGCTTCCTTCCAAATTCTCTCCAATTCATTATTCACCAGTCATCCTACCATTCAATGCTATATAGTCTAAGATATTGACAGCATCATAAAATGAGCGACACATCACACCTGGTAAGTTTGGTTTCTGAGTTCAATATATAAACAATTATATGACATGAACACTATTCATTGGAAATGGATTCATACTTATCCAATAAATCTCACACACAGCAATATCAATACAAAACGCTAGCTCATTTGAGTGAAAGAGAAAATGAGACATAATATCTAATTTTGAGGTTTATGCACAAACTAAATCCTGCTTGGTAATAATGTTTTAAATTAGACAAATTTTATAATTTATATAGACAACTACAAACACATTTTAATAAACAACACATGTTAAAAATTAATGAATAAATAATTTTATCTATGTAACAGTGTGTTTCCTCTGGGCACTAACACAGATACATTATTTGTCCAAATCTTACATATTAAGTATCTTCTATTGAAGAAAGGCATCGATAATATTACCTTTAGCAAACATTTTAGTGTCACATATTGACCACCAGTTTTTAGTAATAAGCACATGAAAATTTATTTATGACCAAACTGTGCAATAAAAATAACTGGACAAATATTACATCTTTTAGAATCATGAAATATGAAGAATGTTTTATTCTGATGAAGTAAACATGAATGACATGAAACAGCATGAACTACATAAACCTAAAATTAACGCAGTGCTTCATGATTCAATGTTATACCAATGTACTAAATTCCTTCCCATGCTAGATGTTTTGTATCTAATGGGAGTCTGGTTCATAATTTCTTTTTTCCAGGTTATAAAAGAACAATCTAAAAGTGAATTTAAATTTTAGCATGATGGAAGATTATTTCTTCATTCTAACTTCAGCAGATATATGGTTCTGCAATGCTTGACTTTGGTGAGATCAAAATGCAGAGGAGAGAATATTAAAATGAATATTAGAAAAGCAGGATATCTGGCTCAGGATAAGGACCGTTGGTAAGTTCTTGTGAACCTGTAACAAGGCATCAATCTCTACAAATGTGGAATGTTTCTTGACAAGATCAGTGACTCTGAGGCTGTCAAAGATTTGCCTCTATGTAGATGGTTGAACGTTTAAACTGACGAAGCACATGCGTACCCACCACTGAAGTGTACATTTTTTCAAATGTATGCAGTCTTCGCTATTTCTGATACCTCATTGACTTTGATATTAATTTATTGCACCGGGTGCAAACTAATTGCACAGCAGACAAAAAACTGCATAAATTAAGAAATTCTGTCTCTTTACTCTGTCGGTACATCGACTGCATCATTAAGTATTTGTTACACTATAAAGTGTTCCCTGTCCATAAATCTGTATGGATAAAACAACTTGAGAACTGCTGAATGGATATTCATAAAATCTGATATCGGCAAGCGTAACTAAAATTTGTCATAAAATTTTGGTTATTATCAGACAGCAAAATTGACACTTTACATGAAGACCTACAAGTGTGCCTGCATGTATCTTTTTCTTAACCCCTTGTCGCATGCTAAATATCTATCCGAGAGAAACTTGTTTGAAACAAAAACGAAAGAGTGGAACACATATTTCATGCCCCATAAACCTATCTCTGAGTCTTACATCTTTTGAGATAATTAAGATTGGTTCACCTACTCTGAATATAGAACATATAGATGGGTGGGGAGATGGAGACAGACTTCACAGATGTGTTCATGATACACAATATGTAAAATTCTCTCAATTAACTCATAAGGTTAACAAAACTAGTATGATAGGCATTTTTTTAACTCAATTTGCATTTCAATTTATGTATTGTATCTAATTTGATTATTTATATGGTTTTGATAGTGTTTGTTATATTTTAATTGTATGTTTAACCATGTCAAGGGTAATTATTTATTGTTGACAAATTATAATCCTTTAGGCATTTGGGCAAAAGGGTTTCAAGAATGATGTATTTAATGATGTGACTTGTTCAGGTTTTACTGTTGTAGCAATTATGAATGCTAAATAAAATAAAAGAATGAATGCATAATTATAAAACATGAAATTTCACCCATAAAATGCAGTGTCATGATATTAATATAACTTAAAACAGTGTGTGAATTTTAATATTGTGAAGGCCCAAAGAATTCTGCAATATGAGAGAGGTCAGTAATGGAGATCTATTTTTATATATGAAGAAGTCTGACATGAATAATTTTTTGCTTATATGCAGGTAAACGATCATGCCTTTCTCACTTATTTTGAACACAGTGTGACTTACATGATATTTTATATTTTATAATTACATTAGTTTATATATACCTGAGAGTATTTCATAGATTTTTAGAATTTAAATTGTATGTGGCATTCTATGAAGTTTCATTACTGAGATGAACAGAAGAGAGACAAGAGATTCTTTGTGAGTTTAACATTAGTAACCTAACATCTAGCAACTTGCACAGAACAAGCAGAAATTTCAAACATATATCACAGGATCAAATGGAAGGAAGTCTAAAATATTTTAAAGCTGCTTTCTTGATAACTTTCATGATGAGGGCTTTCTGCAATATCATTGTGACATCATCAGCTGGACCTGCACCTTACACTGTAGCAGGTAAATGATTTCACATTTACATAAGGTCCTTATTTGTGTACTGTTTTGTGTTTATAGTAATCAGAAAATGTAAATCAGTACCAATTAGGTGTGTGCCCTAGTGTTTCAATAAAGACTATTAGTTTATTTGTAAGCATAAGTTTGTGATATAGGAACCAACAATGACATGCAAATATGAGTATAATTATTTTGTTAAATGGTTCATTTTATTTAATTTTTATATCACAATTAGATACAAAAATCAGCACATTTAAAGAAATAAAATAAAAAACAAAAGTAACAGAAACAAAAGGTAATACTTTTAAAGTAATATAATAAATCATATACATAAAAAAGTAGTATACAACTGAATATAATATAAAATGTACAGATTGATGGAAATAAACAAACTCATCTCTGTGAAAACAAAAAGATTTAACTAATAAATCTGATATCATGAAGGCTAACAAAATCTGAAAAGGATAGGGCGGCAGGATGGGTAAGCATGACTAATTCCGTTTTCAGTAAAACAAAATGTTAGTGTATGATCACAAAATGAAATAAAAATATTGTTGCCTATAATTCTATTACTAGTAGTTCAGTCAATTAGTCACCAAAAGATTACAATATATGCAAGATGTTTCAATTTGTTTTCTTCAGTCCCTTTGACCAATAACTAGGATGTAACTAAAAATAACAAAAAACTGATTCCTTCCACAACCCTGACATCTTATTATTTAGTTTCCAGCTATTCTTTAAGATCCTTTCTTGCTACTCCAAGGACATGTTACTGTTCATTGCTATATTATGCATATCCTTAGTAACTGGATGAAGTTCATTTGCACTGACACTTACAACCCTTATTGTTTCTGACAACACTTTCATTGGGTGAAATAAACTAATTTTTTTTATTGCTAGTGGGGTGGAACTAAGTCCCTTGTACTGCGGCCACTTCTGGCCTATTGTACCAGCCCCAGATGATAGGTGAGGGTGATTGTGGAGCAATTGGTGGAATGAAGATTGGCAGGGGAACCGAAGTACTCGGAGAAAACCTGCCCCAGCACCACTTTGTCCACCACAAACCCCACTTGACCAGACCTGGGATCGAACCCGGGCTGCCACAGTGGGAAGCCAGCGACTAACCACTTGAGTTATGGCGCGGCCTGAAATAAACTAACTTTATTTATAACTGCACCCTAAGAGAAATTTATTTCTTGGAGGCTACATTATTTTAACCCTTCAAAACACATTCATACCCTAACCCATTATTTATCTATTTCACACACACACACACACACACACAAAAAAAAGTAATTTTACACTCTCTTCTCTGAAAATAAATAGCTTGAAAAATAAATCTAATATGTAAAATGAAAAATTCCTATTATATTTGTTGCATAGAAGTATCAACAAATTATATAACTTTCCAACAGATGTCACTAGGAGACAGAAGGAAAACACGAATATTTTAAAGTGCTAGGCATGGAAAGATAAACTACATATTGTCAGTTCATATCATCTTTGTAGGTGTGTCAGATAGTGACTCAGATCATTAAACCTCCATTAAATATTTACTAGATTCTATTTTCAGCAAACAATGGGAACCAACATCACCATGCCAGAGATCTGGTTGAAAATGCAGACTTTTCCCCATAATGTTGCCTGCTCAAATATAGCATACCCTCAAAGATGTTTCTGAGAATTTACAGTGGGGGACAGTTAACTATTCTTCATCATTATAATCACCCAGGGCAGGCTACAATAGGCCAAACAGTGGCCGCTGTGCCAAGTGGACCCAGTTGGACTCCACACTCCACTAAGCGAATTAAAAAAAGCATCAAAAGATTCTAATCTGCCATATTTTTAAATGACAATATATTCAATCATTGAAACTATAAACACAGTGTTTATTTTTTTAAACTGAGTGCAGAGTCCATGATAAGATATTGTATCATATGCTGCAAATTAGCTTCAATATTTTCTCTGTACATTAACTGCATACAATATATGAGTATTTTTAAAGAATGAAGAAAATCTTTTGGACAATTCTGGTTTGAGTTTTTGCTTATGATGAGATATCCTGCATACGGTTTCCATTTATACAACATGAAGATGATGGTACAATGCATTCCATCTACTGGATTTTCACTGAACTATGTGGTCAAAATCTCAAGGGCCACATATCCAACTATTTGCAAAATAACACATAATTCTTTCTTATTCTGTTGCTTTATAGCAGTTGGCACTGGTTTTGCGATAACTAAAAACTATGCAAATTGTAAAAAGGTCAAATTTTCATAGTTTACAGTTCACAATCAATGCAGTATTTCTATTGGTATAGAGCCAAAAGATTAAAGTTTCTCTAAGCTATAGTAATTAACTGTACTTCTTATATGCTTTTATGAATGAATCCTGTTCATATGTTGTTGTAGTGGTAATGTTTGAAATTTTTATTCACAAGACATTTACTTCAACTTTCAGCTGGGAAACCATCTATTCTGACTGAGGTTTCTTGTGGTCTTCCTCAGGCCCTTCAGGCAACCCTGTGATAATACCTCAGTTAGCTCAGGATCATGTCTATTCATCTATTCTGACTGAGGTTACTTGTGGTCTTCCTCAGACCCTTCAGGCAACCCTGAGATAATACCTCAATTAGCTCAAGATCACGCCTTTCAAATCCTTTCCTATTTATAATTTGTCATCCTACCATTAAACATTATATAATCTATATATACCGATATTCTACTAAGAAAAAATTGGTGCAAAGACATTGCACATACTTTTCATATAAAAATAACCTGTACTACATTACCTTGGAAATTAAATAAACTGTTGTTTGGTAGACTACTGTTGTATGCTGATTATTCAAGTTAGGGCATGTATGTTTTGTGTACACATTCAGGCCCCTAGAGCTCACATCAGTATTTTCCTGAATGTACCACCCATGTAGTTTAATTTTTGGAAATGTTCTCAATTATTTATTGAATTGTTATCAAAACTGTTCTGGTAATTTTCAAGAATATCTCTGTATTTACTTAGCAGCCCATCTCAAGGGGTGACTAATTTTGGAGTTAGAATTTTCATATTCATCAGGCACTGACCAACGATGAATAAACCCTAATCTAGTGAATAATAATAAAACCTGCCTAACTGTTCAGGCACTAGTGAGGGGCACATACATACATATATACAGACAAACAGCATTCCAGAAACAACTCTTTTGTATTCAGGAGGCGTGGCAATACAAAGATCCATCAAAATCATGGGATTAATATTTTTCAGCATCACAAGATTTTCTTATACATACTATGCTTCTATACTCACAGGCACTAAAAACTTTTAAACCCATCAAAATCTCAATGGCAATTTTTTCTGCCATCACAATACTTTCTTATGTATACTACAGTATGCGATAAATATACAGTACTGAAATGAAAAGACGTCCTGTTGATACCACCGTCTATTCATGTGAAAGCCCCTTGCATGACAGAACCTTCTCAAATCCTGAAGAAATTGTCTGATCACCATGTCCCTGTAGCATTCTTGGGTGATGGTAAGAGCATTGCCTTCCTCATCCTCAATGAAATAAGGGACTAATATACCATGTGCTGAGACAGCACACCCTATCATCACACGTGTACTATGTAGCAGTTTCTGGATGATAACATTTGGCTGCTCAAAACCAAGGAAACAAGTTGTCTGGTGACCACTTCCATATGAGCAGAAATAATACTCAAATATGAATACTTCTTCCTCCATCGAGAGACCCATTTCCAACAACAACTGCACAAAACAACTTTCTTTTCACGACTGGGAACACGTGCAGCTGGAGCTATGCCCCATCGACAAATGCACATGTGTGTTCAAGATGTGCAAGTTTCAGTACTGAATATTTTGGTGCATACTGTTCATATATGAGAGTGTGAAAAGACACCATCTTTAGGTTACTACCTACCCTCACAAACTGCAAACTTAAGTCCTTTTCATATGTAATACACTGTACTATGACATGTATTTTAAGATCAGTCCAAGCAATTATATACCATGGACAAATCACCTAATTCATATTTAATATTTCCTCTGTATATTACAATTCATAATTCTGAACAAATAATTCAGTTTGATAAACAACATGACACCTGAAAGTCATGCTGCACCTTTGCTCTAATCTTTATATTGCTTTTAAGTTATTTTGAATCAAAATATTTATAGCAGCAGAAAATATGGTTTATAATGGGCATACTCTTGATTCATTTCTGTACAAATTTTATTTAAGAATTAAGTTACTGAGTCACTAGTATTGATGTGAGGAGGATCTGAAGTCTGCTTTGGAAGTTCACTTACCGGAAGGACTGCAGGTTCAATCCGGCCAAATTTTGTTGATCTCCAGCTTTCTAATATTAGAAGAGCAGCATAGATCTTACCAACTGTCAGCTTTCCTTTGCTTAACTCTGTAACAATATTGGCAAATAGTTTTTATTTCGAGTGACTGTTTGCGTGAAACTTGAGCTCACATCAAGGGAAGAACACAGACTGATCATATTTGAGAACAGTGTGCTGGGGGAGAACATTTGGGCCTAAAAAGGAAGAAGTAATAGGAGGCTTGAGAAAACTGCACAATGATAAGCTTTGCAATTTGTACTAATCACCAAATATTATTAGGATTAATCGAATCAAGAAAGATGAAATGGTAAAGGAATGTGGCATGAATAGGAAAGCAGATGAATTTAATCAAAATTTTTGTAGGAAAACCTGAAGGAAAGAGACCACTGCACAGACCAGATGGAAGCATGCACAGAAAGATGTAGACTGGATTTGCCTGGCTCAGGAGAGTGACCAGTGGCAGGCTCTAGTGAACCTTTTTGGTTCCATAAACAGGAATTTCTTGATTGGACAAGTAATTATTAGTATCTCAAGAAGGATTCCATTCTATGGACTTCGTTAATTGCTTCACCATATATCCTTCAAGCAGATACAGAATGCTGTAATTCACACGCAGCAAAAATGTATGTATAAACATAAGTTTCAATCTCTCACTCACTCATGGAGCTGAGCCCTTCTTGAGAAGCTGCCAATTGTGCAGTTAATCAAGAACTTCCCAGCATTTTATGGAACCTGTTGGTTCATTACCATGTTCACAAGAGTCTTCCAGCAGTCCCTATCCTCAGCCAAATCAATCCAATCCATACCATCCCATCCTATCTCTCTGAGATCCATTTTAATATTGTCCACCCAACTATGCCTTGGTCTTCCCAGTGGTCTCCTTCGTTCCGGCTTTCCCACCAATATCCTATATACATTTCTCCTCTCCCCCATTCGTTCTACATGCCCTGCCCATCTCATACTCCTTCACATGATCATTCTAATTACACTCAGAGAAGCGTACAAGTTTCAGTTTCAATCTAAACCACAGAATTAAAGGATAACTTAACAAGACTGAAAAGGTGTAATTTATGGAATACACATTTTCCTTAAATTAATTCTATGAATTCTATATATCTTATTGGGCTTCATGTTTACTTTTGCAGATATAAAAATACAGTATTATTGCAAAGCTCATAAACAGTACAGACATGACACTGTATTGAAACAAACTATTCTGACTTGAATTTCCTTGAACATTAAAGAAAATGTTAAAAATTAAAGCTGTTGCACCACATTCTTATATTGTGTGAGAGTGGAGAAAGTTTTGAGAGTAAATATTACCATCATACAAGGTCAATTTTAATGTACTTCATTCAAAATTGGCACTAACAAATCATTTTTTACCTAGGTTCTCGTCTCCTTGGTTATGAAACCATGTAGGCTTGTGGGTGGTTGCTAACAATTAAGAAGAACCTGCTGCCTTCATCTCCAGAGTACAAATGCTTACTGTATCATAACCCAGAAGACCTAAATGCCAATCTTAACTGATTCCAAACTTTAAAATTTTATTCAATCCAATCTAGTTCCAACATATTAGCAGCTGCATGATATTCATATACAACTCTGTGTATGGATGAAGAAGTTAAATGCTTTTGCACTTCTCATTGTTGATAACTGGTGAAGAAGATAGTAACCTAGTCTGAACACAAAGCACATAGACATGTACAAACACACTTCTTAAGATACCTTCATTTCTAGGTATGAGAAGATCCAACATCTTCTTTGCTTGCAGTGGCCAGATATTTCTTATAGTGTCCCGGAGTTCATCATCTGCTTGGTCCATTTCATCGGCTGTAATTAGGTATGTTATCATGTTACAGATGGCTGACAAGGTACAAATGAATTGAATATAGAATATGGGCACATCTGTAGCAAAGGCATACAAACAATTCATGTTCCCATGAGTATAAAGACTACTGTGCCAAAAATGACAGCAAAAGCACAATATAACCGTATTCCAACAGCAAACGTAAACAAGGTTTGAAAAATGTAATCTATACTTTCCACATGTGTTCTTTGTTTCTTGGTTTTCTGAGTTTACATTAAAATGTATGTACCTTTCATAGATTATAAAATTTATTACTATCATTACTACCATAAGGGTAGCCAATATGGGTTCTCTATGAATAAAATCACACTTCATGTGGTAGCATCCCTGTCCATGCAACCTCAAGGTTCTCCTGGCTGCAGGAGGTTGCATCTGGTTAGGGCCCCAACCCAAGGTTCAGGAAACAGCAGCATCAGTACTCCATGTTAGGAGCAGCTGCAACCCATCTAGGGGGATAAGTCCTCATTGATCACAAGGGTGACAAGTGACTGAAAGAGGTAACCCTCTTAGTGGGGTAATAATACACTGATGAGTTTGGTCATATATCTTGAAGATGGCAGCCCTATCAAGGACATTAACCTATAAGATGCTAGTAATATGTTCAGGGGAAGTTACAATAATTATTGTAACAATAATTACAATAATTATTGTAACTTCCCCTGAACATATTACTAGCATCTTATAGGTTAATGTCCTTGATTATAATTATAATTTAATTATAATTATAATTATAATTAATTATAATTAAAAAGAATAAGAAATTAATCAGACTGATGAGAATGATTCCTTTAGTCACAGAGTGGGTCATGACTCAATCACTCAATTGGTGGCAGCAGCAACAGCAGAAGATGAAGAAGAATAAGAAATTGTATAACTATCTGTCCAGCGATTCCTAGGTTTAAATGTGTGCAAGGCTGAACAGATGTGACCAGCCTACATGTGACCTTTTCTTGCAGGTTGCACAAAGACTGTATAAAACAATTTCCAAGAAGAGTGTATTTTATAGGAACTTCTGATCCTACATGATACTTCTGGTAGACAGCACATTAGAATAATAGCAAGACTAGTGGGACCAAATGAAATTTAGATATAATATTGGATAATTTTCATTTCATACATCCTGTTGTGTTATAATATACAATTTCTTTATTAAATATTGGATAACATGTACTTCAATGTTTAAAACAGAGTTTTCATCAATTGGCAAATATCTGTTCCTGTAGTTCTACAGTATCAGTTATGTTTTGTCATATAACTTCAAGAAACATGTCATTAGTGCCTTCACCCTTCCAAACCTTCCATTATGTTCAAAATGTACATCCCAAAAGTACTGTCACAGGTGATCATATTAAATAAAATTTTTAAACATTTTGTTATGAATATAAACTTACCGCTTCTGACTTTTATGCTTAGGTTCTCCCTGATAAGTGCAAATAGTGTTGTTGTGAAGTTGACTTTTCCATCATCATCAACTGGCATATTCATGCGGATCAACTTCTTATATGCCAGCCTATTGGGACATTTGTTACCAAACCCCAAAGGTGGGTCCATATTTTTTAACATGTCGTACATTTCGGAGTAGTGAATTTTACCCCTGAGAAACAAAGAAGATTAGGATACTTCCATGACATTTCATAATGAAAGATGATATAAAAGTGATTTTAAATGAGTTAAAATCTACACAGGAAATAGTCAGGATACTGCAAGACGAAATCCTGAGTAAACCTAGAGATCTTAGGAATGAGGTTAACCGATCCAACTGTTCAAGTAATATGTCGGAATTAAAGCAGAGTACCTCAAATGGTGAAGCCAACGAATGGAAAGAAGTGCAGCATAAGAAACCCCCAACTGACCAAACCAAGAAGAATTCGAGAAAAATCAAGAATTTTACGGATCACATTCCACTGAGCAAAAATAGATTTCAACCTATAAGTGACTACGAAGACGTGGCCCTGCAATGCATAAATGGTAATAAAAAAATAAAGACGAAACCCCAGTTGGTGTCTAAAGGTGACGATTGTAACAAACATAGAGTTATTATTCTGGGTGACAGTCATGTGAGAAGCTGTTCTGTAAAATTGGCAAGCATTCTAGGTAACGAATTCAGTGTTACCGGGATTTCAAAACCCAACGCGAAAGTGAGTGGTACTGTAGACTATAAGTTCTTAAAAACAGAAAAACTATCCAAAAGTGATGTAGTGATTCTCTGTGGTGGTGCTAGGGATGTAGCCAAAAATGAAACCAAGGAAGGTTTAAAAAAAATTCTGATGCTCTCTAGATTCCTAAGCAATACAAATGTGATTCTGACATGTGTTCCCCATCGCTTTGACCTTGAAGCAGATTCATGTGTAAATAAGGAAGTAGAAATGTTTAATAGAAGGTTACATAAGCAAATGAAAACTCTCGGACATGTAAAGATCTGCAATGTAAGTGATAAAAGGGAAAATTTTACCTCCCACGGTCTTCACATGAACCATAAAGGTAAACTCAAGATCACAAACAAATGGGCCTCCTATATCTCAACCATTTTTGCAAGAAACCAACTATCGTCAGTTATTCCCCTTCCTTGGAAGAAAACGAGTGAACATGGTCTTGTTGAGGATGTAAAGAGTACGACCTCGATGATGGAGGGAAGTGAGTTGCTGGAAGAAGATGAAATGGTCAAATCTAGAGTTTTAAAATTGAGAAAACCGAGCAACCAGCAGTCAAGCCTACCAAACGACAGGGTGGACCACAGTGCTCCTGAACTGGAATTGCCTGATGAAGATAATGGAGGAAATACTGACCAAATTGACCTAAGTGGNGGGTAGCCCCCAACAAGAAATAAAAATAGTGACTAGTGAGGTTGGCAAGAGACAGGTTTTAACATCAAATGAGTTATTAATATTACACCATAATGTTCAGAGTCTGAGAAATAAATTACTGGAGTTAATTGTTTTATTAGATACAAAGTTGACAGACTTAGATATCCTATGTTTCTCAGAGCATTGGCTAAATGATGAACAAATGAGAACATTTAAATATTGAATGCTATAAATTAATAAAAAAATTTAGTAGAGTTAGTAGAAATGGTGGAGGTTCATGTATATGGGTACGTAAGGATTTACAAGCAAGAGAAGTAAGCTATTTAAGAAGCATGGGTAGTGAAAATGATTTTGAGATGTCTGAAGTGGAATTAGTGGATTTTAAGCTAATTTTAGTTTGCATTTATCGATCACCACATAGTGACTTTTATACATTTTTGGAGAAGCTAGAAATAGTGATTTTTAAAGTGCAAATGAAAGGTATGAAATTAATTCTGTGCGGTAACTGGAATATAAATTTTTTGCAAGATAGTACACAACTTAGTGCATTACTGAATCTTTTAGAAACGTACAATTTGATAAATACAGTTATATCTCCAACAAGGGCCACAAAAAACTCAGTATCATTAATAGATGTTATGATAATGGATAAGGTATACTATAGAAACTTAACGGAAGTGTTAGATTTGGGGTATTCCGATCATCTTGCACAGATACTACATATAAAGGTAAATAAGCCTAAAACAGGATGGGAAAAAATAACAAGAAGACAGTTTTCATGTTGGAATATAGAAGAATTCAACCATCTACTTGAGATGGAATCCTGGGAAGATGTTCTTCTATATGATGAAGTAAATATATCTTTTGAACAGATTTTTGTACTATTTTGAAAGGTCTTTTCCTTTAAAGACAGTTTATAAGAAAAACCATAATGAAATTAAATGGATTACCCAGGGGATAAAGGTTTCAAGTCAGAAAATGAGACTTTTAAACACTTTAAAGAAAAATACAAATTTATCAAATGATATATTGGAATACATTCTGAAGTTTAAACAAGTGAGCCAAAATGAAAACAAAACTTTGTGTTAAATTTTTCTTGAATAATCATGAAGGTTCATGCAAGAGGTAGCATCAGTATTTAGAAATAGCCATGCCCAGGAATAAAATTATGGCTGAATCCTTGGCATAATAAGTCCAAAATGGTAGAGGCCTATTTGTTGCATATTCAACTGTGCTTCAGTACATTTCTTCTTGAAACAGATTATTGGGCACAAACATTATTTCATCTTGGCTTCCCCACAGCTATATTGATAAAAGTATGATCAGTCTATTGTGTTTCTCCCTCTGGCCAAATTACAATGCCACAGTCTATATCCATATTTTTTAAAGTTTGGTACGACTGTGAAACGTTTCTGTAAATAATGTGATGCATCATACAAAACATTTAAGATTAAAAAGCATTATTTTTACTGGTATGGGCAGTACATTTGCTGGTTCTATATGTCACATGGTGAGATACTCAATAAAACTGTCAAAAGCAGTTTCTGTCATTTTAAACATGTAAAAAAAATGTAATAAATGGAGTAAAGCATTTTATACTCACGTAGCATTTGGGTCATACTCAGCCCATATTCGAACAAATTCGTCCAAGTGGTGAGCGCCCAATATCGATGAATCTCTTGTCAAGTAGTCAAAGTTGTCCATAATAACAGCCACAAAAAGGTTCAACATCTACAGACACAAAATGTATTCTGCAATATTTGCTTCATCTTACAGAAAATTTGGAGAAAGAAATAAAAATGGATATTCATCTGTTTAGCATTAATATTTAATATTCATTAAAGAATACATCTGGTGAAGGCAAGAATGAACACAGATTTCCCTCACCCTTCTGTGTGCCTTCGCCTCCACCTGCCAATTTTTGGTCACTTGCATTCTGGCCCGGTCTGTTAGAGATTTTCACTAATAAATAATGCCAAGTTTGAGTATGCCAAGGACCCTGAGAGCTATACCAGCGGTAGCGTAGCTACTGGCAGGGCCTCCTTTGCTGGACAGGTCAAAGGGTAGGCATCAGATGAAGAGAGACACCAAAAACCAAAAACTGATGACAGAAGCAGCGTCATCAGCAGCGACTTGAAGCACAGAGCAAATGACGCTCGAGATGGTTCAAGTTCATATAGCAACAGGCGTGACCAGAGTGGTTTGAACGGCTGTTGTACTGCAATGTGGAAAGCAAATGGAAAAACTACCACATTATCACTTTTCCTGGATAGTCTCTTTCCAGAAACAGAAGATCGCATTAAGTGGAGGAACTGTTTTGGAAGAGACTGTGAACCTGTCATCTGACAGATTACTGATGAATTAATTAATTGTAATATTTACTATAAACAATGACAATGATGATTACAAGAACTAATAATAAAACAAATGTTGCCTTCTCCTACGGCAATGAGATACACCTGTCAGTTGACAAGAGGGAGCTGTGCAATATAGGTAGGGTGGGGGAGCAGGCAGCCTGCTTTAATAGCCACCACCTATATTCATTCTTTCCCTAACCTGAATGTTACATTCATTTATTTTATAAAAACCTTCATCCATGGTCAGCACTGATCCTATTTATTTCAAATAATCTGTGATTGATACCTTTGGTTCCTGACAAACCAACAGGGTGGTATATGATGATGATGGTGATTATTATAAATAAATATACATATTACAAATGTGACAAGAACTTTACTATGAAACTCACCAGAAATGAGCAGAAAAATATGAATGAGACAAAGTAAGCATAGGCAAGGTTTGAGCCACAGTCAAGTTCAGGTTTCTTGGCAAGAGGATCACATGGCCGCCCTTTGATGCAAGATAACATTATTGATGGCCAGGCCTCTCCTGTTGCACATCTGCAATATTTTAACAGCAACACAGGATTAGCTCTCATCCTAGCAGCTACCATCCCAACCTCAGCAAAGAATCCTGGTCGTCTCTTTCACTTCAATTTAATTTGCAAGCAAGATGGTTTCATTTAGACAACCCAGCCTACAAACCTAGTTTTCAGCATTTATAAACTTGTTTAAATTTGAATGAGTTTGTGATAACAGTTGAATGGAAAGATGGAAATCATGGTTCTTGACATGAAGAGGAAACATAAACTGCAAGTATATGAAAATATTGTGCCAAAGTAAGAAATGAATTAAATGAATTAAGTTGTCACAATAATAAGCACACTTCTGATTTACATTCAGTGTTCTGCATTGTTGGGGCAGCAAAATAAAAGACTTTATTTAAAAACCAGGACATCATATACTGCCTCATCAGTGTTGCTGCACACCACAGGGGGGTGGTGATAACTGAGTATAGAGCAACAGTGGAATTATGATTAGGAGGGGAAAGCTAAAGAAACTTCAAGAACAGCCTGCTCCAGTGCTACTTCACTCATCATGAATCTTCTATACAGTAACCTGAGAATTAACCGAAGCCACCACAGTGAGAAGCCAGCATCTAATCACCTGAATTGTCTGTATATGTAAGTTAGATATGGAATATGAGATCTGTGTACAGAATTTTGTTGGGGAAGATTCTGGCATTGGGGTACTGTGGGAAATCCAGAAGTAGATGAAAATAAAATATTAAAATGGATCCCAGAAAATTAGGTTGCTAGGTTTTGGACTCTATACTAATTCGTGATTAGATCCAATGGCAAGCTTTGGTTTTAGCAGCATTGAAAGCCTTTATTATAAGGTGCTTATTAGGTAAAGATAGACATTGTCCCTGTTAACTTAGCACCATACCATGAAAACCTGTGGAGGAGATGTAGTTCCATATACTCTAAAGTTGGTACTAGATAGAGAGGTGAGTGGTCAGTTCAAACCCTGACTACTTTACCCCCATACCCATGGCACAGAAAGCTGGGTGGGCCCCAGAGCTGGTCTGGACTCTGCAGAGAAGAGAAAACTCTCTTTTCCCTACTGGGAATCAAAACTAATTCCTCACTCTTCCAACTCAAGGCTAGTCACTGTCTGAACTATCCAAATATCAAACTACAGGGTGAATCATATAGAACCGCCCAATGAATTTGCTAATAATTCCGCAGGTGATGCATATAACCGCTCACAATTACGACATAATAATCCGTGGGCCTTGCTGAGTCGAATGGTGTGCACATGATCCAGCCAGTGGCAGCCCTTATGCTGCAAGGTCAAGGACAATCCTGAAACGTGTCTGCAGTGCGCAGGCGACAGTCATGGAGTTCACTGTTGAACAGCGAGTGTTTCTAGTGCCTACTTGAAAATGGTGGACACTTTCAACACCTGCTCTAATCACGACACACAATCCAAGATAAGATATGTGTAAATTACTTTAATATCTGTAGGGTATATTTTATATTACAGCTCATTTCGTCGGGCCGGTTCTATATGAATCACCCTGTATTTGCTACTTCATTAAAAAGTTTGATTTTCTGCTCTCTATTCTGAAAATATTAGAGAGTTATTTTGACAACTGTTTATCTTTCAGGAACCAATCTAAAACTAGGTTTAAGCTTTTTAATTCCCACATCCTTACCTCTGCTTTACAAATAATAAAATATCACTAATCTCCAACAATACTGAATCCAATTGGCTTCCTTGTGCTTCACAACAGCTGCAACAAATTAATGCACCTTTTCTAAAGGAGTTTACAGGTATATTATATTGAGAATAGCTGTCAGTCTTCATGAATATTTTGTATCTGTTGCTTAAAGAACCCACCATTCCTTCAACACAAAATAGTACTGCAGTCGTGTTTACAACCTGTCTTCTATTTAACCAAGATTCTTGACTGAGACGGAGATGGCAATAGGTCATTATCCAGACTATCTACTTTACAGAACTTTATCATTCAAGCATCAATTTCTAGCTTATCATGAAAGAAAACCGATGTTTTAATGACAATGAACAAAGCAGATCTTCTGAATAAAGCCCTATAAATAAGTGTAAATTGGTAAATATAAAACAATTAATTTGTCTTAGTTGAAAAGTGACATTGTTTACAGAGCTCTCAATCATTTAATAAAATTTCATTACCATTGATAGTTAAGTTTGAACTGCAGTGAATCTATATTTATTACCAATCTTAACCATTGCCTTCAATTCCAGAAAATAGAAAATTCAAAGCTTGATGTTAAATTTAATAGAAACATGACTAGACAACATGGATACAACAATACAACACTTAACAACAACAAAAGCATGTGTAACACCACTAGACTTTTTGTTCTTGTGTTATTTGTTCCCCGTGTTTTAAGAGGTTTTGCTGTGGTCAAACTTGCCTGTAAATCCTCAGCTCTGGGTCATCAACAAAGCTGTGCACTGTGTTGTGAATTAAGTATACAAAGTGCTGTGTCCTAGTGTATCACCAGATTCCACAAGAATGTGCAATTTTACTTCACCACACAGTTCATTTCTACAACTAAAACATCATATATCCTACTCCTTGACTCCGTTAGTCTGACTGCTATTTTCCTTACACCTACTACATAATATCACACAAGCAGATTACCTCACCATCTCGTGGCCAACTATCTTAATGTGGTAGGGATATTTGCGTGCCGTGATCATCCGGAGAGCTATGCTAGTGGGGACATAAGCTCCTGATAAGGTCGCCCATGCTTAACAGGTTGAAGGGTAGCAGCCAGACTAAAGGTAGACCCTGGTCCTCTAGAGTTTGGCATGCAGCTAAACCCCTCATGTCACCAAACACAATATATTAAGAAACCTAACAATGGATGTCAGATGAATAATAGTTAAGGACAATGAGTTATATAATGTTATAAGAAATGTGCTAAGTTTATTCTAGAGAGGAACATTAATAAAAGTGTAGACTGATTTATGAGAGTTAATAATGAAGAGAGTTAGGCAAATCGAAGAACTGACATTTGTCTTAAAGGAGACCAAAGTTCTTATAGAACCATACAGCCATGGAGTCAGTAAGGTTACTTCACCCTTTCAGATCCCATATTAGATTCAGTGTGACATTTAGGAAACCATATTCTGGTCCCATCTCAGATGCATTCTAATAATCTAAACTTCAACCAAAATAAATAACAAGTAAATCTGATATTGACTGTATGTTGAAATGAATTTGAAATATATTTACGTTAACTGGCTGCACTTGTAAGTACATGCTCATGAAGGGTCTCACTTGTTTTCATGTAATATTAGTTCTATAGACATAAACTTGATTGCACATTCTTGGGATCCCATGTGGTTCTCTGAACATCAAACTTGCCTGAATAACAGCAGCAGCAGAACACTATGTTGTTCAAACACATTATGGATGCAGGGAAGGAAATACTTGGATTTGGCAAAGAGGATCAACACAGCCCTGCCTACAACTATCTGGAAATAATCTGTACAGAACATTCTCTGCCTCAAGTCCCTTAATATTTGGAACTTCATCTTAAATATGTAATCTGCTTCAAAAAATGTGTCATTAATCCAATATTTTAAACAAGTTTCAAAAGTCACAGAGCACAAAACAAACAAATGGGGACTTTCGAGTATTTCACTTGAAATGGTAATTTTGAAAGACTGAAAAATGTTATGCAAGCTAAGTACGTTCCCAGTGTTACTTCTACTGCAATAAATTTGCAACAAAATCTTCCCATATGATCAGATATGTTAGGATGGAGTGAGTATGTATTTCTCAGGCTGTGCCTTTGTTCATCATCAAGGATCAGTGTGACTGAATGACCACAAGCTTCATTTATGCTCAACACAGCAAGCTCTTGACTATCCCAGAGTATACTTTGTAGGTATAGACACAACTTATGGATGCGATGTAAATCCCTGACAATGTAGACAAAGTTATTTTCTGAAACACTGGATACTAATTTCAATTTTGCATCACTGATCACTTAAGAAGACTTCATTGCATATAGTCACCATGAAAGCTTCAAGTCATATATGTAGAAAAAATAGATCCATTATCATCACTTGCATATTTTGACACAAAACCTTAACATCTGTCATGTCTATCATGACACATTTCCACCTTAGCAAAATATTCATTGTAAAATGTATGTATTCCTGTATGTATGTATTTCAAACATCTTATTTCAGTGCATAATACAAAAAGAGGGCTCAAAGTGAAGATGAGAAAGGAGTGGTGTAACTGTGACATTTACTTTATTAATCCTCAAACTGAATGTGAACATGGTTTGGAAATAATTCTCTAACAGAGTATGTAATACATGTCAAACTCTCTCAATATAGCATAATAAGCAAGGTAAAGGTAAAGCTGTCCCTGGGCTTAAAGAGACCATGGTACCCATTAGATAGGGTGTGTGAGCCCGAAGCTGGTCTGGATGCTGTGGAGGAGAAAAATCTATCACTCCTGCCACAAATCAAACCCAGGCCATCCAGCACATAGACTGCTGCTATACTGTCTGAGATATTCTGGCTCCCACAATAAGCATAGCAGAATACTATATGGGTCAATTCCATAAATTTTATATTGAGCACTGACTATCCTGATTGAGGGTTTTAATGGTTTTCCTCAGTCCTTCCATGCAAATGCTGGGATGGCAACTTGATTAGACCATGACTGCCTCCTTAGAAATTCTTTCAAATTCCTTTCCAACCCATTCTTCACCAAACATCCTACAATTCAACACTATATAATCTGAGATAAAGTGTCACAAAATAAATTGCTAAGACAAATTATACTGAATGTAAAAAAGTTTACCTCTTAACAAACAGGGATACCTGACAAAATTATATATTCTGTTTCAGTATTCTTTCAAATCATTGTAATTTCAGTAATATAGCAAATATGACTTTAAAGGCAGTGATCTGTAGCATTAATTTTAAAAGTTTTAGAACTAAGTATGACTACATTATTCATTTTATTACCACATATGCAAATCTTCGTAAGAATGATTTTAAGCAGTAATAGAATTGAAATAAACAAAATGCAGTTAAGTATACTTTAAGGTAACCAAAATGGCAATGAAGGAAATTACTTCATGACTAGGTAAGGAGGGAACTTGGTGGAGAGGGCAAGTTATCCACAGTGCAACACAGGTTAAGACGATGTTGGAAGAGGGTGGTTAGCACTTGCCTGAAGAGCAGCATCAGACCCTGAACAAAGCTGCGGAAGTTGTTATGTCGTGTGATGGCACTTTCAGGATCCAGCGCAATGTTACCAAACACCTAGTCATGTGGCCATGATGGTACCAGGCAGGCCAGCCAAGGAGAGAGAGTTGTCAGTTTAAGTTAATAGACAGTGGCCACACAACCAAACCAAACTACAATACTGCACTAGTTACGCTTGACTACACATTTAAGTACACTATTACTATATAATACAGTGCTCAAATTCTAGTCATGTTTAAAGATACTGATAAGGATTTCTAGGTATTGAGAAGTTCATCCTATGAAATTGTTTTCTGTATGGAATTATGGAAAATGAATAAATGAATGAATGAGTGGATCACTTGCTTTGTATGACTGTTGTCTGCTATTCAAATTATTCTCATATTAAACTATTCGCTAGCTAAATTAATATTATTATTTCATGTGTTATAATGAAATTATTCAATATGACACCAACTTGAGGAGAAGCAATAATGATTAAATAAATAAAAGAATTTAAGGATTTAACTCTTAAACAAGAACTATTCCTTCATAACCTCATACCTACAGAAAAAGAAGAAGGCAACCATATATCATAGCATGATGATCCATTTTAAAAGTATATGTATTCAGCGGAAAACACCTTCATTCCAACCTTTGCAAGATGATATAAGATACTATTGTAAAGCACAATCGTTAAATACCGTTACTTGATTTTCAAGATAATCATTAATAAATGTAAAATAAAAGACAATGTCTTATAGATCAATGGCCTGCTGTGGCTACTAATGTTCATGACAATTCTGATACATTGCTTCACACACAATTTCTCACATGAACCCAGTCTTATTTGTGGATAAAGAAGGGTGATCTTTCCATCCTTGCTAAAATTAGATTCTATTTTACAGGTGTCTTAACAAATTAGCGTATTAATCTCTTAATGACTGGCTATATTTTGAAAGATGATGATACTTATATTTAAATACCCAGAAATGCTTATTCATAGCTTTAGAACACTTCAAATATTACTCACAAGAACAAATCGTACACTGCCTAAAGTACAACACACTCAACACACATCAGGTGCTTAACAATCTAGCATTAACATACCCAACCACAGAAATGCTTGCCTATATGAGGAACAGGAGGGGCTGCTTCCAGTGCTACCAACATTAGCTAGCATGCTTACCAACCACAGTTAGTAAAGACACCGGCCAAAACTACAAGAGCCCAACAGCCTCAGAACTAACCTGTCCATGTTCCAAGCTGATCAGAAACAAAATGGCTCCTGTCATGTGGTGCCTTAGAAAACATATGTTTGTGTTAGCAGGTTATGTGTGACTTGAATGTAGTGAAAATGATAGTTTTCCTGTTACAGACTTTGTTACACTGTAGTGAACATCTTAGCATTTTTCTACTTCATTCCAACATTCTATAACATAATCTTACATAGGATATGAATTTTATAACCAAGATCATATTGCTTCAGTGCTCCCCTCTAAAAGACAAGTAAAATTACAGTTCATATTATATGGATGTAGTGATGAATCTAGATCACAGATCATTACATATTACTGATGTAAGTTATCATCATATATTGTTTATGGTCAAACCAATTACACAGAAGTGACAGCATAGAAATGTTATGGCAATAATATTCATACACAAGACTACAGCAAAGTGATGTCTGACTGGTGGCATGTGATAAGATTGTGTCATGTTAGGTTAGTTCTGAGTCTGTCCAGGGCCAAGTGCTGCCTTGCGCTAAACTAACTCACCGGAAAAGCAGTAAAAGAGCGCCGAAGAAAGTTTGAAAGTTGTTATGGCGATTGAGTGCCGAATCAGGGTCAAACTTCATGTTTCCAAAAACCTTGAAAAACAGCCCCAAACATAAACTCTATCCGTGTGTCCCAGCTTGCAGTCATGCCCTAATCAGAGTAACTGGAAACTTCTCAAACATATTAGTTCGAAATAGAGATATAACTGAAAAATAGAGAAGCATGTATGCACTTACTGTAATAAAATGTAATATATCAGAGGCAATTTTGAGTCATTATGCTTGTTATAATCCATGAAGAATGTTAAAAAATAAAAATTCAGTCTGTTAATATAATGCAATTTTGTTCTCAGTAATCCAGTATTTTAAGCTCAGTTTGATAGTTATGATACTTATATTTAGATACCTGTAACTGCAGTATTTAATATTAAGCAGCACACAATATATCTGTTCTGTTCATTACACTACACTACAATAATCCTGTCAATAAATGCACCTGATTAAACTAGTGCCTTTTAGATTATTAGATATTTTACCATTTAATACAGGAAAAAGGCTAACAGAATGTTGCCATTAAATATGAACCATTACAGTCTGCATGGAGATACATAATTAAAAAACAACAACAAATTTCCAGCAACTGATTCACTTAACTTTATCATGTGGTGAATCAATTTTAAATAAGAAATCAAAATACTCTTCTTTATAAGCCCAAGAGTTTGAGAAGTTGCAAGTTTACCCACCAATTAAGGCTATGCATTATACAAACTATGCACCAACTTGTACATTTCTGGACCTCACAGATCACCTCCTACACAATTTTCCCTAACAGAGAAATCAAGAAACAGAAAATACTGTCCACAGTTGACTATACAGTATTACTGCTATGACAGAACTTTTTACCATTTTCCTCAATGCAAGGCATGTATCAGGGTATGTTTACTTGAACTAAAAAACTATATGTACATCTGCAGTCAAAGAATGTTAAGAACTGAATTCAAAAGGAATGTGGACTTTTGGCAAGAGCTTAGGTCTCCAAGAACAGTACACAGATTAAATTTCCAGTCTGTTCACGTATGATCTGTATTCAACGAGGCTTTAGTAGGCAAACATTTTGCTTGTTTCCTATGACTCCTGCTATATCATTACCGAAACCATTCTCTCACTGTTTCAAATACTATCAATGCTAATGAAATATAACTCATCTGCTAGATTATATGAAATCCTACAATAACAGTTCCTGTGATACTGAATTTCGTTTAAAGTGTGGTGGTATGTGGGACATTTATATACATTCTGTATCAATTAGACAAAAAGTAAGTTATAACTGAAGAGAACTGCATTCAAAGAATGCTGTCTTCTGGGATGTGGAGCCATGTAGATCTTGTGTAAACTGACATTTCAGAGGAACGTATTGCCTCCATCTTCAGGATAGAAAAATCTGCGAGCAAGGAACCAGCATGAGCAGGTGGCTGCAGATTTGCCGATTCTTATACCCTGAAGATGGAGGCGATAAGTTCCTCCGAAACGTCAGTTCACATAAGATCTACACAGCGCCATATCCAAGAAGACAGTATTCTTCATAGTGACTGCTGTGAAAACCTCAAATCTTAGATAGAACTTCATAATTCAACATGTGTGTAAGTCAACTAAGGGCAAGGGCATACCAAGGAAACTGGCAACCAGAGTTTTTAAGAATTGTTATCAGCCTGAGTTGAATACCTGCTATTGAATAGAGCAGTGCAAATTGAAGGGACAGAAATACAATTTCCTCATTTTGTGCTGCTCCATTTGGTAACATGTGTTCAACTCTGGCTGATAATAATTCTTGGAAATTGCAGTTGCCAGTCTCCTTGCTGTGCCATCGCCCTAATACTCAGGAGTTATTGGTTTCAACCCATATACTTTATCTCCCAGATAATTTAATAGATATCAATGAAAACTTGCACTAACAGCTGTCATTGGGAAAATTCCAGTTTGGACCCTGTTGGCCCACAGTGAATCCTACTTTATACAGTGCTCAGATAAATCTTTATCAAATTTCTTGAAAATAACTCAGCATAAAAAAAATTGGTACAGATGATTTGAATTTCAGGATTACTGGGTTTTTGGATTTTGTCCATTGCCTGGTATTCTAGTAAACACAGAAGAACACAACGTTTCAGAAACTGGATGTGATTCTGAAATGTTGTGTTCTTTTGTGTATTCTAGAATACTGGACGATTAACAAAGTCCCAAAACTCAGTAATCCTGAGTGCTACACAACATTGTCAGAACCTTTTAGAATGAACATCATATGAAATATGTCATATCACTACTATTTCTAATTTTAATTTAAACATGTATTTATATTGTGTATATTTAACAAAATATGACAAAATATTCTTTATACAAAGTAATTTATATTTCTGATCAACTGTGTTATAAAACACTGTCTGCAATAAACCCCAAGAGCCAAAAGGCATAAATGTAAAACTGCACAGAACACGTTTGGCAACTCTTGTATATTCTAAAATGGAGTGTCCCTTTCCATGCTTTACAGTGAAATGTCCAAGTTAATATTTCACCACTATCATAAAATAACCAATAGTACCCCCATTCACCCCAAAAATAGGTTGTATGGCAGAAGTAAGAAACAGTGTAGGATTATCATTACACCAGATCTAAAGCTATTTCTCCTATGGCAATATAAATCAGAGTTCTCTAGTTACAGATATATGTCACATTGCAGGAACTCAGAAAAATGACAGGTTTTAATTTTCCTAATAGCTTTTTTTTGGGAGGGGGTTATGACTTGTGCTGATTTTTAAACTGAGAGTAGCAAAAATTAGATTTACTTTTAAATATCACCGAAATCTTCCTAAGAGCTTATTTTAGATGATGGACAATATAAAACATACACAGAATTGGAATGGGCCAATTGCCTAATCTTTCAGCATTGTCATAGCACAATCTGTGCATTCAAAATAGCTCAGTAAGCATAGTGACTATAGTTTGAGGATAAATTCCAGCAGGTGGAGATATTTTTGGGTACTCCACCTTATTAAAATTGCTAGGGCATGATGCTAACCATTCACTTTTCCAAAGTTGAAAATGTATGGAGCTATTCTCCATTCTCCCATTTATCCTCATGGCGTGGTGCTTAATTAAGCACAGGGACAAATTTACCTTCATTGTTACAATAGCATAATTTTAAATTAGTTTAGTTCAATTATGTTTTTTTGGGGGGGGCGGGGGGAGGGAGTGAGTGGGGTGAGACTGAGTCCACTGGGTACATCAGCCAACTGTACCAGCCCCAGATGATAAAGTAAAGCTAGCCCTGTAACAGACCGTGAATGCCCATAGGGTTGTGAGATGTTGAGGGTCCCACATTATCTAGACAGTGGGCTCAAAGATGGTGGTAAGTTTGTCAGCCTTACGCGCCAGCCGCACTTTACTCCCCAGGAAAATTATTTAATTAATTCTTGGTACTCATTTCTGTTAGAGGCTGAGTTGACCCCAGGGCCATAGTGCGGCTGGAAGGATTAGGTCAATTGAAAAAAATCCAGTGACCTCATCAGGACTTGAACCCATGACCTTCCAGCTTGTAGCATAGCCTCTCAACCAACTATGCTACCGCAAACCCCAGATGATAAGAGATGATAAATATGGAGCAGTTGGTGGAATGAGAATTGGCAGGGTAAACTGAAGTACTCGGAGAAAACCTGCCCTAGTGGCCTGGGATAGAACCTTGGCTGCCACAGTGGGAAGCTGGTGACTACCCACCTGAGCTATGGCATGGCCCTACATTTTAAATTACTATGAAGACACAGAAATATGCACAAAGCCTTTTCTTTTTTTAAATAAAGAGTTGCAGACTGTCTTAGAGGTATCATAATACTCATATAAATCAAGACATATTTAATCCATTTCAGGTTTTCAGAGTGCTTCATACCCACAGTATGGTAATATAAATGTGAAAACTTCTGGGTATGAAGGGCAGTTATGTATGAAGTGTTGACATGTGTTTTTCTAGCTTCAGTAAAATTAGTTTATAATCTAAAAACTAGACAGATAGGATTCCATGGTCAGCTTTTGCAGAGTTGGTGAAAATGTTCAAGTCTCATAACAGCAGAAAACATTTTAATATTTCAATTTCTAAAGCTGGGCCAGAGAACAATTATACCACATTCTGAATGTCATAAACAAAATTGAGAGAGCTGCTGCTAGATGGCTGGCTGTGTAAATATCCATTATATTTTAACTAGTGTATGATGATCCATCAAGGATGATGAAAGAATCATGTCCTCTCTCTCTCTCTCTCTTTCATTTTTATCTATCATGTATTTATTCCCTACCTTCTCTTCTCATGCATAATTTTCCCATTCCCTCCATTTCTCCATTCTACTGTCCTTTCTCTGTCCCTTCCTACCCACCTGTTCTTCATATTAGATTGATTCTCTGACTCTGTTTTTCCAGTCTTTTGACCCTTTCACACCTCATCTTCCTTTCATCCCTCTGTAGTCTTTGCAGATCCCTTTTTTTCTCTATCCCATTATCATTCCTCTCTTGTTATCTCAGCAAAGATAGAAAATATTTTACATTTTCCCTGTGTTCTAGCAAGAGTGCAATGGGTTTACTCTGAGTTTGATGGGAAATGGCTATTAGTTATATGCATGTTCTCTTCAGTTCAGATTCATCAACAAATTTTGTGCAAGCATGTGTCATAAGAACTTCACTAAATATCATTAAAACATTCTGACATACCAGTAACCCTGTCAGCACATTTGTTACTACAGCCATTCAATTTATTCTGGATAAAGTACTCATCCTATGAAACCTTAATTGAAGAAACAACTATATACAGGATGTATCAAAACTCAATGGCAAAACTTCAGGAGCGGACTCCTCATATAGAAAGAAGAAACAAAGTGTATGACAGCATGGTTCCAGAAATGCATAATTACAGAGTTATCCAACCTTTTAGTAATGTTAGTACAATCCGACACTCCCAACACTGTTGCACTGTTACACTGAATCCATCTGTAACGCCAGCTGGAGCACTCTGGTCACGTGTCAGAGGAAATGTTCAAAATGAACTCCTCCTGCCTGAATACTGGCCTCTGCTTGTCGTTACATGGAGTGCCACACACGATCAAAAATGCCCAGTGTAGTGTGTACTGTCTGACAGGCTGTCACAATGCATGCATGGAAAGTTGGTACATCAGCAACAGCAGTCAAATACACGGCAGACATGCAAAATTCCCATGTTCGCATAGGTGGCAATGGATTCCTTCAAATGTCTTTCGGTCTGGCAATCTGCACATTGGGTAGGGTTCCTGATACAAGCGATGTGCCTCCAAAGTATTACCATCCACTAAACCATACATGTAATGCATGTTTGCGAGTTCTTTGTTTGTGTACATTATGTATCACTTCACAGCAGACTGCAAACAACACTTAATAATCACAGACAACAGATGTCATACACACTTTTTTGGATACGGCTACAGCTACTTAACTGGAGACAACAGGATATCATCTGCATGTCCTAGAGGTATTCAGGCCCACATCAAATTGATTTGCAACATGATTACTTGTGTAACAATTGTGATCGGTGACTCGCATTTTTATTCTGGCTAACAGGACGTGTTGGCATGCACTCCATAAATTACACACTCGGATAACTCTGTAATTATGCAGTTCCAAACCCATGTTGTCATACACTTTGTTTCTTCTTTCTATATGAGGAGTCCGCTCCTGAAGTTTTGCTGTTGAGTTTTGATACACTCTGTATATTCATTACCAACATTTTTATTTGCAAGTAAACTGTTAAATCTGATACTGCAGAAACATTTATTATAATGAGGGAAGTTAATCCAATTTTAACTTAAAATCTGAATTACTGAAATAAGATACTGTTACAAAAATTAGTATTAATATGTAACATTGATTGGCTGTAATATTTAGATTTATAGAAATATTATGGCATTGCTGTTTCCCCAACCTCTGAAAGTAAGTGGACTACAGATTCACTCATGTAATGACTTCCTGGTGGCTAATACAGACTCCAGTGCAGTGACCAGTTTCCTCTAACAAATAAATCAATTGCTAAAGGGACACACGGACACAGTACAGCTAAACTACCACCAGATGTCACTGCTTCATGCTGTGAAGAATAAATCTAGAAAGAATTACATTAACTTTAACCCACACAGCTAGATAAAAATTGTTATACAATCTAATTCCTAGAATTTCTGTGAGAAAAAATTGATATTTTCTTAATAACCTTTCTATTTCTGGATTCTGAGAGTTACTTTATGTTGAAAATAGAAGCTTAATATTTGTAATCATAATGTAGGGCTGGATGCAAAACCTATTTCTCATTAACCATATCTAAAAATAATTTCTTTCTTTCACATCTTGTCATGTCATGGTGTGTATTCCAAAACTATTATGTTTGAATTATGTACAAACTACAAAAATACATCTTCCTTCCATCTTAACATAAAACTGACAACTGCCATGTATCAATTTTTTCTTACAGAAATGTATTCAAACATATCTATTGCGTTGAATACTAAGAAAACAATTTAAGTTTTACTAACTCTATGTAATGTCTAATTATAAATTATCAATAAAGATCATGAAAACCATCAAAACTAACACTTATTGTAATTAAGTCAACTGCAGAGAAATAATTAAGACTGACAATGATTATAAAATAATCATACAGATGCTGATTCAAGTTTAAAAATCACTGATCATTACCATTATTATATACAAATTAAAAACTTTTACTGAATTGTCTGAATAAGGTGGAACAAAATAAATTTTTATTATTATCAATGGAGAATTCTGAAGCATAAATTAATTGCTTTGGGGGCAATATGTCAGTATATGGAAGCATTTTATTTAATTGTTTTATTTATTTATTGTTTCTTTAGCAATGCTATTAGTAGCTCAAATTATAGAGGGTCAAATCATAGAATTACTACTGAATGGTGAATTGGAAAGGACGCAGAGAAAAGTAGTAATGGTCTAATGTGAGGTACTCACATTTACCTGGAGTGACTGAGAAAACCACCAAAAGGCCTCAGTGTGGATAATTGGTGTCTGTCGACAATCAAACTGGTCATCTCCCAAATGCAAGTGTGAATGATAACCACATAAGTCACCCTGCTCAATACGGAAGTGTTTAACTGTAATAGGTTTCAAAGAACATGCCAGTGCACTACTGGTATGCTGTAGAGACTTCAGAATTAAGCTCTAAGGAAGTTAAATAGAAACTAAGACTTTAGTAGGTGATCTCTGCACACCAATTTTCCAGTAACATGTATTTATAATATAATTAAAGATGTTAATAGTAGACTTAATAAGCTGAACTATGGTTTCTGGCTTCATACTTGTCATTAATCTGATAAAGATATAATGTACAAATTTTGTGTTCCCAGGCTAGAGTGTTAAGAAACAATTTAATTTGTAAATATGGTAATGAATCTTTATGGGTATCTCACAAGTATCTTTGTGCACGAGCTGCATCTCACTGGTCTACACAAATGAGAAATGCCTTATATGATGAGAATAGCTGGCCTATGATATGTGGGAAACTGCTGGAAACAAATCAACTAGTTTATTTTTGCAAACTTCTGTCTCCTGGGATATAATGCAGTGTAGTCTATTGAAAGTCAACCAGTGGTTTGTAGGAATATGTTGCCTTCATGAAGTAGGTAGCAATCAAACTCTGCCTGTTGTGTGCTTCATGTTGGTTTCTTGTCTGCCTTAATATTTGGCCATAAAGATGGCACAGGGATTTGTTTCTCCAAAATCTAGGTTGGCTTTCACCAGAATGCATGGAATTATATCTCAGAATATGGAACTATTTATAGTCACTGTTGTTAGAATCTTGAATCCAAAACAGCATAAGTTTCCTCCTATGTTTTCACAAATTTCCAACTCACTCACTTAAGAAACTACTGCTACTCAAAGATATTTTTCTTAGTTCCTTTGCCATATATCCCTTTTGGTAGTTTTATTTATCTTTACATTACTATTTTTGTATTTTATTTCTTTCTGTCATTTTCTGTGACTTCTATGGCTTCTACTTTATAAAGCAGTCTATATTAGGGCCAATTCTCCCATTGCTCATGCCCCAGATCCCATTCTTTTCTTCCCCATACTTATAACATTTCTCCCTATGTAGCTTATTCTTCTACCCTGAAGTGGAGGCAGCAGGTTCTTCTGAAATGTTTCTACCTACCTACCAATCGACACAGTACATAGACAAGTGAGTAACATGCTTCATACAATGTAACATTCAGATATTCTTCTGTTTTATCTTTTATTTGCCTGATTACAAATACTGTTCTTTCAGATCCAATATTGATACCAAAGCCAGTGCCAACACTCACCTACCTAAACTGCACTGAAGAGAACTTGAGTCTCATTTCTGGCAAACCACAACAGCTCTGAAGGAATTTGAACAGATCTGAGAAACTCTAAGCAACTAAACAACTGAAGTGACTCCAGACAACTCTCAATGGCTCTTAACGTTCACAGGCAAAACCATCGAAACCCAGTTTGAGTGAGAACAGCCCAGACAGGCACAGATGAAAGTACAGCAGGTTGTTCAAAGGCATGCACAGGCCTAATCTAACCAACCCTGACTGGTAAAGTGCAATGAATAATTCAGACAGATTTGCTGAAACCAAGCTAGTGACTCTAATTCAAAGCCAAAATTAAGATAAAGACAGGCACCAACATCAAAACCAATGTTCACCTAACTTAAACTAAAAAACTGTCTTGATTCACAACTCTGAAATAATTTTAATGAACGTGAACTAGGATCATTTCTAGGCATTTCAGCATTTGAAAAAGTTATAAATACATCAAATATCCAAAATTATTCACCATAAATATTAATTCGGTCTATCATGGCATTTTGACTAATCATGTAACTTGTGTGTTTCACTTCATTTTGAGTTGAATAATTTTAATTGTTAACTTTCATTTTGTATCTTACACAGAATAAAATTCATAGTTCTGTCTTCTATGACCACACAGGTTGATACTGGTTTCCTATAAAGCTGTGAAATAATAGGAACTGATTGGTAAATAGACTATAGCACTTAGATATCAGTTGTGGAAAAGAATAGTACAAATTTTTGTTTAATAACTTGAGAGAGATGATATCCAATTCCATTGTCTGCCAGAGTCAGAACAGTGAATTTCAACTTCAATTCTAAGTAATCATTTTATATAATCACTGTCAGTCCTCCAAGTAATTACTTTCTAAACTAGTATGAAAATCATAATGCTATTATGTGAATCATTCTTATCAACTATTAACTAGAGAAGATCATAAACACTGTAGGTAAGTGGCTGCTACAATCTAAATATTTCACCATAAACACCATACAAAAACAAAAACAAAGAAACTCCGTGATTTTAGTCCGCAAACGAACTATACCGTACTATACTCTTAAAATTCCAAAACAATGCAATATGAATTGAGTCATTCATCAGCCTTAATATTACAACTTTCCATAAAACAGACATTAAATATCAGAGTTAAGAGAAGTATTTAAAAAATGAAATGGAAACCATGTACATAGCCAAGACACATTTCTCCTTACATTATTACCGAGTTAAATTAAATCTATTGTTAGCAATTGCAATGGAAATTATGTAAGATCTGCAGATTACCCTATTATGATAAGAGAGAAGGGCGCTGGGTAAATGAAAGATCTTGTAGATATAATTCTCAGGTCTAACAGTATTCTCTTATGGGTGCCAATAGATAATCCTAGAGTACAGATTTTTGTTTCATTCTTGCCTGAAACATTGAATTTACGATGGCCAAAGCTTTCTTCATTGGTGCCTATCAGAGTTGCTAATGACTGTATTCAACAATGTGTGTGTTTCTGGGTGGGTAGGCATTCATATGGCCTTGAATTTCGTATAATGCATAAAATATGTCCTTATGTTTTTCTGGTTGTTGCTTAACGTGTTGCTTTGGCGTTTAGGTCTAGGCACGCTGAATTTGAAGGTTTTCTGTTCTTGCAAACCTTGCAGTTTCCATCTTCAGCTTTGATGACTTGGGAGAGTTTTGGCAACTCTTACATTAGGCATTGTGTCAGAAGTGAAGTGACAATTGGATGAAGAGAGGAGCAGGTTTCTAATCAATAGGAAGTGACCAAGTGGTTAGTGAAATAAGTGATGCAAATATTTTGAAGGTAAATTTGAAAAGAGGGGGTGAAAAATGATTCAGCAATCATGTAGTTAATGAAAAGAGGAGATAAAAAATGTTCTCTAGTGACCACATGGTCATGAGAAGAAGTAGGGAAAAAATGTTTCAGTGATCATATATTTCTAACAGGTGATGGGAGATATTTTATTTCCTTTTCTCCTCCCCCCAGCAAGAAGAGAGACAGCTCAGTGAATGCTACATGAAGGTGGTTCAGTATTAAATTTGTTTGGGAGGGGGTAAAGCGGCAAAGTCAGGATTTACTCAGTCTATATCCATCTTCATAGTTAAAGTTACAGGAATGTTTTGTTATTCTAATAGTTTCCCTGAATCCCTCTGGATTTAGACAGTCCAGACGCCATTTAACAAAATGGCATCCTGCTTCAGGTCAACCAAGGACAGACAACCTCTGAATAAAATTCTGGGGTTCACAAGATCCTCTGCTCATATGGCTATGCATATATGTCAGGCACCAGACTGAAGAACTAGGAACCAGCAGTACTAGAACACTCCCCAGAGACAAAACAAAACACTGACTTCAACAGAACAGAGGTCACAGCCAATGTTGAGATGTACCATTCTTGAATCACCAGGAAAGCCATGAAAATAATAAAAACTCCCATAACTTTAACCACGAAGACAGACATAGCTGAAGCATTTTTCTCCCACTTCTACTCAGGACCATCTGGTTTCCAGAAAATTTTTTACAACTTCCTTTCATTAACCACATATTTGCTACTTCTTGGTTAGCACCCTGCTCCTCTACTGATCCAACCATGTCTACATCTCCTGCGTAGTGCCTAATGTGACAGTCATATAAGACCCCCCCGCCCAAGTCATTAACTCTGAAAATGGTAACTGCAAATTTGCTGAAACATTAGAAAATCTTCAATATTCTATGCAGGTAGTCCTGGACGACAAAGCCGCACAATACAAAATATGGTTACATTTATTATAGTGGTGAATATCATTCATCATGAGGACACTAATATGAGGAAATGAACTAAGTCACTGAAAGTAAGAAGCTTGGAGTCTAGCAACGAAATTGCTAGGTTTAAAGATCGTAATTCGTTTTCTCTTACCATACAAACACTTTTATGAGTTTTCGTTCTTAAAGTTGGAAGAGAAAACTTGGTAAGCAATCTCACACACAGTAAGGATATTTGTTTTCCATTGTAATGCAATATATACCTAACAACGCAACAGAAACCAGGAGCACTGTAAGCTAACATTGTGCCAATTCTTTAAAGAAAAATAACGATTACATTGCGTTTATTAACCTTGTGCCCATTTGTACATGATTAACATTACAAATTCAGATTACTACCATTGGAAACTGGAGACAAATGGTAAAATGTAAAGAAGACATGAAAACTAAATATAACATTTTTTTCATGTACTTCACAAATTATATGCAAAAAGTAAGGATAAAATTTTGTAGTCTGTTTGACCAAGTGTTAAGACACACATATACCAATCTGTTAACAATGCTTTAATATCAGTGTTTTACCAGATACAATCTCATTACCACATAAGTGTGTTTCAGATACATGTTCTTGCTATTTTATTGTCTGGTGAGAGTAAAAATATGGAAACAGAGAACATGCACTATTTATTAGTCTATGGAAATGAAAAATAATAAAAACTAATGACAAGGAGAAAAGTTTCGAATTTCTAAAAAAGAGTACCCATATTTTATGTTCAGCAAATATTTCCTATGAATGGACTGTTTTGATAATAGTAAAACACTTTCTTGAGTAGGACTGAACAGGCATTAAATAGCATTGAGGAACATCATGTAAGAACCATTTCAGTTAGGACTTCTGGTGCTGGAGGGTAAAGATGTGCCCACATTCTACACTACTACATAGTCTGACAAATGGCTCATAGATATCAGTGAAACACAACAGTCCACTAAGTGTTAACATCTGATACATGGGAAAACCTTGTTCCACAAATAATAGTTAATAATTGCTATCTTTGTATAGTCAACCAATACAAATCTTGAACATCCAGCCCCTTTAAAGAGACATGTTGCACACATGGGGAGTAAAAACAAATGCATATACAGTTTTGGTGGGAAAACCATTAGGGATGAGAACGCACTTTGGAGAACTAGACATAGACAGGACTAAAATGGGTGTTAAATACATATGATGCAAAAGTGTGAACTAGGTTGAGATGACTCAGAGTAAGGTCTGTGGAGATGGACATTTTTATGAATGCTCATGTTGCTCAGAAGGAGGGCAGTTCTTGGTCAGCTGACTAACCACAAATATTTCAAGGAAGAACATCCAACACAGAGTTAGTGTTAGATTTATTTAATCAGTTTGAAAATGTATGTAATTTACTTTTCTATTTATTCCTGCATCAAGGGGGGGGGGCATTTTAGGACTACAGTGCTGTACTCCTCTTTATCTCATATATTCTATAAATTTGTGACTGTAATCATTTTACAAATATCAGCAGAGAATTTTAATAACTTAAGTTATTAGTGAATTAATTTTAAAGGCTTTTAGCAAGCTACAAGTATGCTTCATAACACACAAGCATTCAATTAACATATTTTATACTTATATGGTATAACACAATACATGTACATTTTAGAGAAAACTATTAAATGAAGATAAACATATTTTAAGTCCCATGCATGTTATGGAAACATACAGGGGGAGAGAAGCTAAAGTTTCAAGCATTCTTGACAGTAGAACCATAGGGAGGTGTGTGGCCAACTCTCCCTCCTCAAGATGATTTTCTGGAAAAGTCCCTGGTCTTCATAGGTTAGGAGACATTTTGAATAGAGTTACAGAGAGGAAAGTACCCAGTGATCATGCTGGGAATCAAACCCTGGTCATCCACTTATATATAATGTATAACTATCATTACTCATTCACTCATTAACTCATTCATGGAGTTGAGTCCTTCTTGAGAAACAATCAATTGTGCGGCTACTCAAGAACTTCCCAGCATTTTATGGAACCCAAAAGTTCATTACTATGTTCACAAGAGCCATTCAGTGGTCCCTATCCTGAGTCAGATCAATCCAATCCCACCATGCCATCCTATCTCTCTAAGATCCATTTTAATATTGTCCACCCACCTACATCTTTGTCTTCCCAGTTGTCTCTTTCCTTCTGGCTTTCCCCCCAATATCCTATATGCAATCCTCTTATCCCCCTTGGAGAGGACTAAAAAAATAAAGTTGTTATGAAAGATCACAAGAAGCTTCAGACCTGGACAGATAACTATCATTACACACCACAAAATCTGTTCCCAGCTTATATTATTTTCCAATACCTTAAAAAAGTTTCTGCGCAATTTCTGAGTTGTATAACCCTTAAGTACATTAAGAAGAACAAGAACATTAGTCTTTTTTATCACTAGAGTGTATTTGTTTTACTGTATTCCATTTTAACACAAACTTCTTGCAGTTAATTTGGAAGTGAAATATTGTTTCAAGGACTTTTGAAAGAAATAAAATCAGGATAGTCATGATGGAATGGTTTCTGCTATCTTTTTGGAATTACAGGAGATTATCCAACATAAATTACAGATAGAAAACATTCAACAAAATTGTCTTACAAAGAGCTGGATGTATAATTACAGGCAATAAATGCATATAATTTGATTAGCATTATTTGGGTAAAAAAGATGGGAAAAACGGTTTTCATACCTGCATGCCAATGATGGCATAGATGAAAAACAGCATGGCGATCAGCAAACAGACGTATGGCAGCGCCTGTAAGCAAGATACACATGCAAACACAGGCCATATTAGTCAATCTAGTGATGTGAAGATATTCTACACATAATCTCAGTCACAGGTCCAATCTCTGAGCTGCTTCAATAAAGCATGCACTACTCCATTATTCCAAGGAATCAGAGAACTTTATGTGGGGTGCCAGCTAGGAGCATGCATAATTGATCACTGAAATTACAATTAGTAGCTGTTTGGGTTCTGGGTGGACCCTACCAAGGAATTGAGTGTTTTTCTTCTCATCCAGCTCACAGTCAGTCACTTCATTGACTGCATTATTCATAAACCAACTAGAATTATAAGAATATGAAAAATATATAATTTATTATAATCACTAGAAATCTTGTAATGATGATACTGAATTTGCAAACTCAGCAGCAAAGATTGCTGACTGTGAGGGTAAGAATTTTATTGTTATACACTTTGCATACCTGACATATATAAAAATGCAACTTTCCTGTGTTTCCTATTTCCTGTCATAGATCTAATAAAGAACACTCAAATAAATTGTACACCTTGTTGTAGCTAAGACATACAGGAGGAATGGTTAGCAATGTGTGACGTTTCCAGTAGACTTTTGGATGTGATTTGAATCATCATTCACACTTCTGTGAGTTAACTTCAATTTTTTCACACGAGTTTCATTCCTTTCTTTTAGCTATTGTAAACTGACAAGGACATAAACCATATCTCATGTGAAGAACAGGTGCTTCTGCTTGTTTTAACATACAATGAGTAATGCACCTTTCTGTGAATTTTGAGCCATGTAAAAAGAAAAACATGATACAATTAATTTTACTAGTTAATTTTGGGAAAGTTAAAGATCTGGACAGTACAACATAAATATAGCATATTTTGAAAGGAAAATGTTATTTGACAAAGGAATATCTTCATTTTTCAGAGAATGTGTTAGAGAGTCAGATTAGAAGGCAACTATGAGGCCTACACTAGTCTAGCTTAATATGATGGAAACATCTAATTTTACTTTGTTCACCAAACCAAACAAGTACATTTCAATGACCAATTTTGTCATCCTTAAGTAGATGCTATATTTAAGCCTTTGGATAGCAATATCTAACTTTTAATTACACAGCATGGAACTTGCTATCTATCTTAATTTAGAAACATATGCATGCATTTACTTCCATTTGCCCTCTTTTACTTGAAAACATGCTGGAGAGTACAACATTCAACATGCTCCTACTTCTTACTTGATCTGGGATACAAGACAAATGAAATGAAAGTGATATGATCTCCTTTAGCAACTGGAGATGGTAACGGTCATTATGCACCACTAGGAGTATGTTTAAGATGTGTTTGGTAACAACTAAATAGTTTTATTTTAAACTGATGTAACTGAAGAAAATTAGCTTAAATATTTGTTACAATTCCTTCTGTTACTCAGTGCTATATTCAATAATAAAATGTCAACTCTCTAGTTTATTTTCATTATACTTCATAAAGAGTTTTTCTGCTGAAAGCCATCATGAAATACTCTACACTTTTGTGTTTACTAATTCATTGATTGTGTAAATAACATCTTTGTCCATATATAAACCACAGTCTTCTTCTCAGAGTCAGGTTAAAACTTATCAACAGTTCTTAGGAGGGGTCTCTGGATTGTGTAGATTTAGTAAAGGTATTATTTCATTGTTATGACCAAAAGATGGGGTTTAAGCTTCAATTAAATGATATATCAACATGAACTTGAATACAGCTAATGTTACCAGCTAGTGGCATTCTAAGACAAATGATAATATTAATTTTCTGATTTTATTAGAGCTCAGAACCTTATGTCAATCCAAACAAATTCAATTAACATATTTTAAGTAATGTATGTAATAATGTGGAGTGATATGAAACTTCCTTACTTTGATTTGTCCTGACATATATATAATGATGTAAGTGCATAATTAATTCTCATAGTTGGGGGTGGAGTCCAGCTGAGTCCACTTGGCACGTCGGCCACTGATTGTCCCATTGTACCTGCCCCGGGTGATTATGATGATGGATAATTTGGTGGAATGAAGATGGCAAGGGAAACCGAAGTAGTCAGAGAAAACCTGCCCCAGCGCCACTTTGTCGACCACAAATCCCACTTGGCCAGACCTGGGCTCAAACCCAGGCCACCGCAGTGGGAAGCCAGCATCTAACTGCTTGAGCTATGGCACGGCCTACGTAAGTGCATATATTTTCTTTCATTTCAAGGCACCGCACAATGTTTGAATGAGTGTGATATGTGTAATCTTAGTTTCAGTTCACAGTGTGACTGCATGTTGAATCTGTTGTCTTTGGTACCATTATTATCTTTTTCATCTTCTGTCTACTTATTCTATATTCTTAACCGTAAGAAGGAGCAGTTAAATGAGCAATAATCACATTTAGGGTAACTCAAAAAATAAAAATGTATATAATTTAAACTTGATTTTTTCATTCTGAATATATATGAATCAATGAATGAGATGGAAGAGTGAAGAATGATGATGACAAACATATATGCCTCATATGACAGCCTCAAGAGTATGAAAACCAACTATGTCACTCCAAAATTGTCTCATCTACCAAGGTCAGGTAAAAATACAGTGCTTCATACATGAGTTAGCTAACATAATTAGAAAAGAGAGTCAAAAATGATTGAAAAGCTACTATATGGTGGCAATATGCTGAGTGAACTAACGCAGCCTGCTAGGGGTTTATGTGTAGTGCTCATGTCAAAATAGTGAGAGACTTGGACCTGAGATTTGCAGTGAACTGTAATGATGGTATACCAACAAGCAAGCCATGCATCTACATAGAATACTAGTTGCAACCTTGCAACCATTAGATACAAAGTGTCAATTTTGCTATTCCTTTGATATTAAATACAGTATTTTCATATTTTTATCAGTATTTGAAAGTCTGATAATTTAGATGTTTGACTTAATATCACAAAAACTTATGTTACATTTCAAAATATATACTGCTAATGTATTTAAGGTGAACTATGCTATATGAATTTAAGAGAGAAAAATATACCAAAGCAATAACAGTAACATCTTTGCTTGATCATATCTAACAGTCACTGTCTTGCAGCAAATGTTTCATTGAGAAGGAACTATCCTCACAACACAAAAGAGCCCTTGGTATTTTCCAGTAGCAGAACACTAACATTATTAATAATTCCAATATGCATGTGCACATAAATATATCCACAAACACAGGTTTTACTGAAAGGCATCAATGAGGAAATTTACACATATTAATGCATACTAGGCTTATATATGGATATATATGGATTCATATGGGTTTTGATTAAGTAAGTGCGAAGAGTTTTTAAAACTGTTATACTATTCATGTGAATGATTTCATATTTAAACTATTACCTCCATATCCTGGATCTACAATAAATGAACATCAGTACTACTGATCAAGCATGCCAAATTTCTTATAAATCTAGGAGCCACTTAAAAAAAGGGAGATAAAATATAATAAAATACTTCAGGTGACAAATATGGTCATTCATGTTAAAAAAAGAAAAACTGAAACATGTACCTACAAAGTAACAGCTACTTCCTGCCAGGATCAGGGAAAACCGAACACCCAGTTGCAAGTATTAAGAAAAAATGGAAATTATCTTCTGACACTGCTAGGATATGGGGAGAGACATGAAGACAAGTGGAAAAATAAAAGGCAAGAAAAAGGACTGAAGAAGATTAAGGTAAGAAAGGGACAGAGGAAAAGAAGAATGGGGCAGATAGAAAATATTTGACACAAGGAGAGGATGCAAAGAATGGAGTTAGAAATTAAGACAGGATGGACAAATAAAAGTGATGGGAAAGCAATATGGGAAAGAGGAGGGAAGGAGATGATAAAGAGTAAAGGAAAGGAAGAATGAAACTATTTTATCTGTCATCTTTGATGGCTCATTTGACAGCAGTAATGAAATATGAAGAAAATTCTAAGTGTCTTGTTATGTCCTGTTACAATTTAGCAAAGAAGCAGATCTGCTACTGCAAAGCTCTGTGGCTCTACTGTGCAACACTGTTATGATGTTATAGTACCTGTCTCTCAAAAGTACATACAACTGGAAATACTAGCAACTTACAACTGATAATTATCAGTTTCTTGGGGGAAAAATAGATAGCAACTTTCATTCATGGCAACTGTAAGGGTAACAAAAATAGTCATTTCAGCCATTTCAGTCATTAAAAATAAACTGCAAAATGTGCAGATCAGCCAAGCAATAGTAATGTCAAGGCAGGTATTATTTTTATAATCCAAAGAAAACAAAAGTATTCATAACTCTTTCAATTTAAGCAAATGAATCTTAGGAAGAGTGTTTTTAGAAACATTACCCAACTAAAAACAGAACTTAAAAAAAAGTCTGTGCAATAATTAGTACATTGATTCCAATTTTGAAATCAATTACCAGAAGTGCTAAAACATATTGTACCCCTACACTACATTAGTAGTTAGTAAGTGCTTGCTTGTTAAAAAATCATAGAATTAGCCATGTTGTGTGAACTGCATTAACTACTAAAGAGTTGTTAATTACCTTTCAGTTGCCCTGATAAGTAACAGTTATTTTATGAACACAGGCACTCTTGGAAACTTGTGTGTCTGACTTAATCTCGAGCTTAATATATATCATGAGACTCTTGCTGTGCAAGTGTTTGGTGTTGATAACCTTTGGATCCATAACAAGTATCAGTATCCTCTGTGTATTGTTTCTATACTGTACTCTAATTGCAGTTTTGCTTTGTGGAGAGAAGTAAGAAATGAACAATTTGGATCCAGATTGAAAAATTTAGCGACAACTTAGCATGTAACATTTTCACATGTGGTACATTCAAACCCATAATCTGTAGAATAGAACTAGAAAACAAGATTATGGTTCTCTGGGATGTTACACCATATGTATTTTTAGATAGATAAGTCTTATACCCGATGATGAAGTCAGAAAATTCCTATGTGATGTTCATACCTATTTACCAAAGTACACAGCGACATATCCCAGAAGTAAATGATCACTGTATATAATCACATAAGCTTTAATTCTACATATGTAATCAATTTTATGATTGCAGCTGTAGAAATGAGGTTTATGTGATGGTACACAGTGGATCGCTTTAGATTTACACAACCAGAAGGCAAATATTCCAAAAGCCATAATCTTCATACTCACTGCCATGAGAATCTCAAATCTCATATTAGAAATTCTGACAAATAATTAAAGGATATTTTTGATTTGATATATTTTTTCCTATTAGCTTACATAACAGACCAACTATTCTGCTGTATTTATAATAGACTCAGGGAATTAAATCCCTGAAGATTACCTTTCTTGGATACTACCTTTTAATGCTAATTTACATGGCAGCTTTACAGAAGCATCTCAGATAATAGTCACAAAATAATTGTACAATATGTGAATACTGTTCTACTCAAATGTGTCATGCTTTTATGCTAATAATTACTTGACATGTGGGTGTAAGGAAAGACAAATGAGCTGCCCCCCACCCCCCAAATATGAATTTTCAAACTTCTATACCTAATCTTAATATGTTGACCATTTTTACTGTGTTTAATAACAGAATGTTGTAATATTAAATATCCTCTGTGGCATCTATCTTACTGAAGCATATTATTTCATCATGGCATAATGCTTATCTCATTAAGCACAGTGGCAACATTACCTCTGCTATTTAAAGGATATTTAAGGTAACTGGCAAGATAATGTCAGAATATATGGGACCCTCAACGTCTCACAACCCTATGGGCCTTCACGGCCTCTTACAGGGATAGCTTTACTTATATTTTAATTTTAATTGTTGCAGTACCCTGAAGTCACTAAGTAAAAAAGTAAAGTAAAGCTATCCCTGTAACATTCCATGAAGGCACATAGGATTGTGAGACATTGAGGGTCCTGCATTATCTAGACAATTGGTTCAAAGATGGCGGTAAGTTTGTCAGCCCTACGTGCCCGTCGCGCTTTACTCCCCAGGAAAATTATTTAATTAATTCCTGGTACTCATTTCTGTTAGAGGCTGAGTCGACCCCAGGGCCATAGTGCGGCTGGAAGGATTAGGTCAATTGAAAAAATCCAATGACCTCCTTTGGACTTGAACCCGCGCCCTTCTGGCTTGTAGCATAGTGCCTCAACCAACTACACTCCAAAGTCACTAAGTACTTGTATAAAATATGAAAGATAAAACTTTGATATCCGTGCACAGCAGTGACATAACTGAATACAATATAATTTATATCAATGTTAATGTTGAAGTTAATTATTTTTCTGACAACTTTAATGGTTTTATCTTATGCATTTTTGTTTTGGAGTAGATTATGGTAACAAGAACTATCTTCTATAACACCTTATCTTAGCTGACAAAATATGATTTAGTAACTTTCAACAGGTTTTCTGCATATCTTGCTAATATAATTTACCATTGACAAAAGGTTTCATAAGATGGTATACAAAGTTTATTTTCATTCTGAAATTGTAATACAAAGTTACTGTAATCTCAGAATAATGATTTTGGATTAACTAAGCGTAAATCAATAAAATTCCAAAGAGGTATATTAAAAAAAAGTAAAATAAATTTTTGGCACTTTCACTGAATATCTTGAAAATAGATAAAATTAGTGCTTTTTTGCTCAGTGTTACATTATAAGTTGCGATAGAAATTTCAATGCGGATACACCTTACCAACAAAATAAAGGAGTCACAGGAAAGTTACAAACAGGTGATACAGCATTGAACTGAATACTATAGCCCTTCTCATATATACCATGGAAGACATTATGTTTCAGCAAATGGAGGAACAAAGTAAGAGAAGATATACAAGACTAGAGAAGGCTTTGCCATAAGATCCCACCCTGGTTGAATAATCAATGGATGATGACAATGATTATGTCGGAAGAAAGAGCACTGGTAGAGCTGCTTTCCATCCCAAATTAGTTAATATCAACCCAGAAAAAGATAGAAATTTTCTATTTTGTGCCAGTAACAGTACAGCTTGGCCCAGTACTTGGAAAGGCAATGAAGAAGATGAAAAATTTCACACGAAGCACTTGATATATCATTCCTGAGCAAATGGCAAAGGATTTGCACAACACCCTCTTAATTCTTGTTCATAAATAATAACAATGCCAATAAGTTGTGTGCCAAATCAATCCACTGATTTCATTGGATATATTTCAGAAGCCTAGTACCATGGTATTGTGAAACAGAGCCAGATACTATGTCAGATTCAAGACTCTAAATAGTATGATAGCTTTACTGTAACTCCGTCATTCCTACTGACATCTGTAGGCCTACAGAAGACCTCCACATGTAGGGGTAGCAATGGTGTCAAGAGTCCACTTGGAGCTCACTAGCAGACAGGACACATATCAGAATGTCACAGCTGTGCTTCCTTGCCTGCTATATGATATGATAGCTTCGAGGCTTTGGAAATTTACCTTACACAGTTACTCTGAACTCTGAATAACAGTGGTAGTGCATGCATGAAGAAAAGATCAACTGAGTCCAGATTTCTCAAAATGTGTATCCAAGATTCTAGGGTCCAAAATAAAACTAAAGTATGTTGACAAGTTTACTGGATATTTAAACTTAATAATTTTGGTGTACACATTATCTGATTTAAAGAGTAAAATGTAAATTTTGTAGCTTTATGGAAGTGACACACATCACAACATAAACACATCTACTCTATTCAAAATTTACCTTGAAGGACTGCACAAAAGTCCATAGCAATATCCTGATGGTGTAGCCCTGTCTTAACAGCTTTATGAGTCGGGCAGCGCGGAAGAGCCGCAAGAACCCCACGTTGATGAAATTCTCCTGTGCATTATTCAGTAATTTCTGGACAAATGGACCAGTGTTACTACACAAATAACACAAGTTCACGGGACAACAGCTACAAGGGTAGTACAAATCAGACCATGCATACCACAATCACAGGCTTCAGTTCTTGTGAAGACTAATTTGAGAGTCAGTTTCTCAACTGACATATTTGAAAAAAATGTCATATTTGTGACCCATAATTTAAAAATAAGGCAATGGTTATTAGATGATGGCAACTGAGATTGTGTAAGATATGCATGTATGGCTCTGATCTGTAGGCCTCCTGCACAGCCATGTGGATAGTCTGTGAGTCTGACAAAACTGATATAAAACTACACATATAATTGCAACCATGCCATAAAAAGATGTATGGCTCTGGTAGCTCATAAGCTTTTAATTAGGGAACGTCATATATAGTTGGAAATTATTAATAATAAAATACCACAGAATTTAAAATATTTGATAAAATCATGAATCATGATTATTTTAAACCTGAAAACAGGTTGAACATGTCACCCTTGTGACCATGCCCACAAGGCAACAACAGGAGTTGCACAACAATTATAATAATTAATAATTATAATAATTATATAATAATAATTATTTCCCTAAACGAATTTCACTGACTGGTCTTTGTTATGGAGGCTGTTTTTTAACTTTTAAATGTTATATAAATGAATTTCAAAACTTAAAGAGCATAGTCATACATCTTATAGTGCCCAGACCTGAATGAAAACTTCTGAATTTCATTTGCTTTAAGACAACTCTCAGTTTTGTCAGAAACCCCTATACCCCAACATGGCTGTGTTGCATTCCAACAAAGCAGTTCACTTCCTCTACCTGAACCACTCAGATGAAAGGATAGTGGGTATCAGCCAAAGGACAGCAGGTAGCCGTTCTCCTACCCGCCCAATGAGCATTACACTGTCATATCCACTGAGATCCTTGTACAGGCATGGTAGCAAACAGTTTGATGGGAAGCACTGTAAACCGGAAATTATCTACAACAATGCACCTCAAAAAAGGCACATGAATGTAAACAATCACCAGTTCATGTACTTGAACAAAAAACACCACACATATCGAAAGTCTGCCGATAGTAACTTTAAATTTTCAGTACAGTTTAATTAAGACTGAACTGTAATTTACTTGGTTTTAAAATATACAGGCATGATTCTAGTTCAATAATTGCAATCAAGAAAGTTTCCCTTACCATCGGCACTTCACAAAGACAAATCCTTTGTACAACAGGAAACATTGAAAGATTCAAACTGAAGTGTACTTTATCATGATATATTTTCAGGTAGGAATAAAAATAAGGATGAAACTGGTATGATACAAATTCATGTGTTCTGTTGTACAATTTATATGCCATTAACTAAACTGAAGCAGATTGCATGATATATCACAATTAAGTACAGCAATATTCAGCAGTTCACAGAAATGACTTCCTGTGAAATTGAAAAAACTAAGAGAGCCAACAACAATTTTATAACAATTTGTACAAATTTATGACATAATGATAAGAAAATTTATATGACTAGTGCCCACATAGTTTAAACATTATCTTAAAAAATTAAAAAATTATCTTACATTTCACTATTATTTTAATATAAAAATTATTTGAAATGTCATAAATGTTTGATATCATTCGCCTTTTACAATTTTAGAGAAAACAGCCAATATGCTAATTTTGATGTAGTATTGCCAATTTTAGATATTCTGAGTACACCCCAATATCACAGAGACTAAAAAGTGGACACCAGACTTTAAAAAATTTAGGGTGGTAATTGATACACAATTAAGACAAACGTTTTGCAATTTGCTTCACTTAACTGGATAATAAACTAACCACAAGAAACACATGTTTCATTCTGATCTTATCTCAGAATGGTTATTTTAGCAATCACTTCTGATTCTGAGATCAGCACTGAAACAAAAAATAACTTGCTTCAGGAAGGTCTGTGTATAGATATTGTTAATTATCAGAACACTACAAAAGCTTCATACTGTTCCTGTATGATGTACACAAAGATTACATATGACTCATATTGTGATTACACTGCACATGTGAATAAATATGGTTTTCAAATTCCAGAATAGAAATAGAATACTGAAAGATATAACTGAATTTTAAACTTAACAAAGCATGCCAATGACCTTCTAACAAAATTTAAGAACAAACCGAACACTGAACTGCATCACATCTGTAAAACTGTTCATGACATATGAAATTCTAGTAGCAATTTAAGTAATTTTATTCCATTACATTTTAAGCAACAAGATAATTTCTTCTGAGATTAAATTGATGCCAGATTTTATGTTTATTTTGTTTAATATTTATAAAATCTATAACTATTGTCACAAACTTATCAATAGAAAGTTAACTTGTAATATATGTCAGCATATATAATTATTCATAGATAAAATCTTGTAGGGACAGTCTGTCAGAACTGCAAGCAATTAGCAACTGATGTTCATCACTTCCATTTTCAAACATAACTTGGTCAAAATTTTGCAGGCCTTCCTGTCCACAACAAACTCATAATATGAAGATTCAGTGTAACCAATTAGAGACTTTGTCAGATTATAAGCAAATATTAAATAATAATATATAAATTTCATTATAAAACAAAAATACTTTTAACATATTTCAGGGTGAACACCAGATATGCTTGTGTCTATCTAGCCTGTCTGCTGAGAGAACCCTGAATATAGTCTAAGAGTATGGTTTCCTGGGTAGTAACCTTACATAGCTTGGAGAAATCCTGACATTTTGGCAGAACATATCATCTATTTCTTCAGGGTCAAAGTGTAAATCAAGAAAGAAATTGTCAGAAGTTTGAACTCAGTTTGTCTCCTGCTTCTGCCAGTTTCTTTCTTGCATTACTCTTCTACTCCGAAAATGGAGAGAACACGTTCCTCTGAAATGCCGGGCTGTCTCTGAACAAGGCTTTGCAGCTCAGAAGATGATACTCCTCATAATCACTACAATGATAACCTCATTCTGACTCTGTATACTTCCACTTTTTTCTATAATTTCTTGACATCCTGTATATGGCTATAGTACACGTTTCTGAGCACTTCAATTTTTGTACTAAAATATTCATCTTTTGGTAAAAATGGGAATATCTCATACTGGAATAATTAAATCTTCACTTGTGTCGTATAAGACCTGGGGGAAATATTTACAGATGAAATTACAATTTGAAAGGTAACAATTCTCATTCGGTGCAGAGTATGTATCCAAATATAACAATTATAGCAACTGGCCACTTTTTAATATATGGAATATAAGAAAGTATTGTAATTATGGGGGAAAATTTAGTCTTGAGATTTTGATGGATTTACGCATTTTCATCTCCCTAGAACCTGGAAAGGCAGTTTTTGGAAAGCCATTTCTCTCTGTGAATGAATATGTGTATGGATGTATGCCTCATTAGTTCCTGACTGGCTGGAAAAATGGTTGGAGGAATTTTATTAATATTCACTATTCTGGAGTTTATCAATCATATGAGTGCCTGATAAATATGAATATTCTAGCTTCAAAAATAGGGACCCTTATGATGAGCCACACAGAACAAAATGGCGATGATGACTTTAACTACAGTAATTTTTGGAGATCATCTTTCTAAATAAAACTATAGAGGTAGTAGATTCAGGGAAATAGTTATGTGCACATTAAGGCCAAAATTCGAAATGTTGATTTTTCAGGGATTCCATTGTTGTTCAGTATTTAGAAACCAATAATGGTCTACTGAGCAACATCCAATTTAATTTCCATGGTAACATGGCCAAGGCCATTCATATATGAGAAAGCGTGTGCCATATATCTAGACAAATTATTTCCACTGTGGAACTTCTCTTTATATAGGTTACTGTAGCATAATGCCATGGCTCCTGCAAGTTCAGATTCAAATTAACCTGGGGAATTGATAATATTTGCTCATTTGTTGTTCTCACCCCCTACATAAAAGGCTTATTTCCAGGACTGTAGATGATTGTGAAATTTACCAGTAGGCAGAGAATGTAAATTAAAATGAACAGACATATATATGCAGTCAAAGCATGAAAAACTTCTGGACATTCCACTACCCTTTGGTATAAAGAACCAGTTATTTCTTGTGGGAAATTTTGTGATATAGTCAGTATCTAACAACACAGCATTGAAAGGAGTGTAAGTGATGAATTGGAAAGGATTTCGATGAAGGTGTATTGATGTATTATCCTGCCATTTGCCTGGGGGTAAAGAGGAAAACCATGAAATACATCAGTCAGTGTAGCCAATGTCGATATCTTATTGTATCTTGGTAGTAATGCAACTGGGAGGAAGGCAAAGAGCATGTGGCTGCATGTTATGGTACTAGATTCAGTTTCTTCTAAAATGCTCTGTTTATACTATTTCTGATAGATCCAGCTTTAGATATTGATACCTTATCCTATTAAATGTAAAGAAACATGCATTTATGTATAGAGGATACAATTTCATTAGACCAAATTCACTACAATAAAGACTTATAGCTCATATATCATGCTACACTGGATGGAATCTGTCTTCAGAACAAGATAATGTGAGCAGTTGCGCATAATATGTAACACAGGATATCATACTGTGTTATCACTAATTACACACAAAGGCAGACTTTCTTGCTGGCAGCAGTGAACCTTCATGGTTCTACTTCCAGAGAGTTAGTTTCACCAATTATAAAACATTTTATAGATTTTGGTATCACATCTTACTTCTCAAATTTGACAATGTGAAGAGAACTGTAAAGGTGACGTACATCTGTTATTATATTATTATTTTCAATTCATGCTAATAATCGAACAATTATTGAAATAAGAAGTTTTAAATTTCATACCAGAGAAGAAGTATATTCAGCTGACTGTGAATTTATAAGAAAACATTACTTAATATGTAATATTATAATTTTATAATATTGGATGACGTGATCGTAATAGGCCGCACATTCCGAGAGCACATGCTCAACTTACGGAAAGTGTTCGAGAGGTTCCGGGAAGCCCATCTGAAACTTAACCCGGAAAAGTGTAAACTCTTGCAGGAAGAGGTCAGGTACCTCGGGCATATTGTATCGCCAGAAAGGGTATCCACCGACCCGGACAAGTTGAAAGCCGTGCGAGAGTGGCCGACCCCGAAGGATAAACATGAAGTTAGAAGCTTTCTGGGGCTGTGCGCGTATTACAGGCGGTTTATTTCAGGGTTTTCCAACATTGCGAAACCACTGATGAAACTAACGGAAGAGAAACAAACCTTCCAGTGGACTCCAGAAGTGGAGGCCGCTTTTCAAACGCTAAAGGGTGCCCTATGTGCTGCCCCTATTCTTGCCTACCCACAGCCAGGAGAGAAATTCATTGTGGACACAGATGCAAGTAATGTCGGAATTGGAGGAGTTCTCTCTCAAATACAGGACGGAAAAGAGCGTGTCATAGCTTACTTCAGCAAGACGCTACACAAAGCAGAGAGAAACTACTGCGTCACCCGTCGAGAACTACTTGCCATAGTGAGGACACTGGAACATTTCCACAAGTACCTCTACGGACAACAGTTCCATCTGCGAACGGACCACTCTGCGCTTATTTATTATTATTTGTTATATTTATAATATAAATATGAAGTTCATCTTTATTCAGATTTGCATGGTATGTTCTACTCAGAAAGGTAGAATTTATGGGCTAGAAAATCATGTACTAAGACAGATACAAACACAGGTAATAACATGATATGAAAACTGGGCTTCATGTAAAAAATACACTCCATATTTAAGAGATAACAGTAAAGACTATTATCTGTTAGCTTCGAAGTATGGAATTCTTATGTTATTATACTAAAATATGTGTTATTTTATCATACTGAATACTGACACACAAAGTGGATAGAAAGCTCTGCAGTGGATCTGAAGCCAACCTGTTTTATAACACTTTCATCTAAAATATAAATACCACTTCATTCTCCTTCCTGAGTTTGTAAACGCTGTCTCAAAAATCTGATACAGTTTCCACAACTTGAAATAAAGTTATGTTTATTTTCATAAGCAGTATACTCTTTTCCAAATTTCAAACCAACTTTTTTAGGCCACGCCATAGCTCAAGCAGTTAGTTGCTGGCTTCTCACCATGGCAGCCCGGGTTCGATCCCGGGTCTGGTCAAGTGGGATTTGTGGTGGACAAAGTGGCGCTGGGGCAGGTTTTCTCTGAGTACTTCGTTTTCCCCTGCCAATCTTCATTCCACCAATTGCTCCACACTCACCCTCACCTATCATCTGGGGCTGGTAAAATAGGCCAGAAGTGGCCGCAGTACAAGGGATTTAGTCCCACCCCACTAGCAATAAAAAATACCAATTTCTTTAAATCAATATTTTAAAAAGAACTAGATAACTAAAATATTGCCTCAATAAATGAAACATTTGTGAGCATAAAATAAAAATCCAAAATCTTAAAGCGTATCAATTGTATGAAACATTGGAAAGATGCTGACATCAGACAACTCAACAAAGCAAATTCAGCTGGATACAAAATTCCATTAAACTTCCAGCATCCTTTGTGTGCAAGCACAGCTGCCATTACTCAAAACCCTGCACTTCTACGTTGCAAGTTTTGCCAGACACATGTAATTACCAAAAAAAAGTATTTGTTTTTCTGAGAGTCATGGCTGACTATCCATCAATATACCTCAACATACTTCTTTCTCTACCAGCAACAATTTATGAGAGGAATAAATTACTAACATATAATGATTGCATATACTTTGGAAGTGTGAAGCTCTCAGTTCTGCAGTTTATAATTGTGTGAACTTCAGAGAATGAACAGTAATAAATTCAATATCTGTTTCTAACAAATTTTAAGAAGCACTGTTAAGTCTTTTTTGCATGTTAAAAATATACATTATTATTACTGAAGTTATGACAAATAATTTAAAAGTCAGTGTTCTGATTTCTGGATTATGACACCATATTTAGTGCAGTAGGTGAGTACCAACACTTCTGAGAAACATAGTACTTCTATCTTTAAATCCGTCCTGAAGTTGAAGGTAGGGAAATAATATTTATATCAACTGAAATGAATGTGACAGAATAAATACAAACTGAACAAAAATTAAACTCTCATAAATATTTGGAAATTGGTTTTGTCTTTAAAATAAAAAAAAAAAACTAGTGTATTAACAAAAAACCTGTGCTGTTAATTCTGCAGCTATCCTGTGGTATACTTAAGGGTTATAACATTTATTTAATTAATACTGTTGGTACTTTTGTTATCATAAATATTTTGTGTCTGAAGCTGATTTATTTTTTACCTTCAAGAATGAATCCTCAGGTAAGTGACAACATATAACTTATGTCAATATTACAGTGATTTCCATTCCCAGCTAAATTATTTGTTTCTGTGCTGGATTTTCTTACTCTGTTTGCTGCTAGTTGCTTGCTTGGATTATTCTTTGACCCTGAAGATGAAGGTAAGTACACTTGCCTCAAATGGAACAATCTTCTACTGCACTATCCAGTATCACATCCCAGAATACAGAACTCTTGTTTCTATTTAAAATATTCAATGTCATCTATTATAAAAAGGAACTTGTAGCTACACTAATAATTTCTCTAGCCATAACCATCTGGAGCATGTAAGTGCTGATATTAACGTATCTGATAGACAGCAAAGTGAAGTTAGCATATGGACATTTCAACTTTCTAAAGGAAAATAGTTTTTGTCTTTTTGATTGCAGGAAATGAAAATGGTGTGGTATTAACAAATGAAATTGACTGTAATCATATGTGATTATTTTATGTTATATAAATTATGATTCATATTAAATGCATGAAAGGCTAAACATGATTTTTATTGTTCAGTGCCAAATTTTTCTGCTTTGCAACTAATTAGAAATATAATAGATGATGAAATTGCAGTAATATTCTTACTTCATTTTTCTACATAGTCCTTGATTGATGGTTGTAAGAATTATGAGTTATATATGTAGAAGTAGTGACAAGTGGACACAAGAAGGAAGATACATAATCTGATTAAAGTGGGATAATATTCAGATGATTCGATATGTATGGAAATGACTTGATTAATTCAGCAGATGCACAGACCTCTATATCAGCAATGGTTTTAGGGATATTAAAGGTAAGAGTTAAATTTCTTTGTATCAGAAATGTAAACTAAAATCAGAACTAGCATCCTAGAATATTTAAATCAACATTTTGTAAAGAAAAATTTCAATCAGTTTTCATTACACTGCAGTTGTGAAAAATGCTAAAACATATGTAATAATTATACACACTAACTCCTATATATTTGTCTTAAGAGCAGACGAGCAGGTCATGCACCATGAAGCCAGTATGACTTCTGTTTTACTTACCCCCAGTTCTATAACTAGGGCATCTATAATGCTGCCAATAACTGTGATGAAGTCAAATGTATTCCAAGGGTCCTTGAAGAAATTCTGTAACCAATACATGTTATCATATGAAATTTACACTGAAACAACAGAACAAATTTTTATAATTGGCAGTTCCATTTTTGGAGATAAACTTATCATAATATTGGTACTCTCATATATATATATATATATATATATATAAGCTGCAGTGTTACAAAATATAAAACAAACACATACGCTAATGTTTGTTGCATGAAATGACACTTTCAGCAATAGATCTCACAGAAAGAAGCAAGCAGCTCTTGTTTCTATCTGTGAGAGAACGGTTAATCTATCCATGAAAAGATTCATTTCATATTAACATTAGTTCTGTATTTGTTTCTTAAACATTTAAAATCATTGATACTTGTTGCACTGAGAGTTAATTACCAACAAGCTGACATCTTAAAGCTACAAGAAATGGATTTGAAAAAAGAGATAGGATGGAAACAAGAATAAGAATGTAATGACTGGCAGCTTATTTGACAGAATCCAGCATGCATTATTAAACTGCTATCGATAATAACCATCCAGGAGCTACAGGCTCCATACATCAGTTAGATTATATTTGACTGGTTATTTCAGGAAGAATGTTGAGGCTTAATGCAGGGTGAAGGTATGTCAGGAGTAATTACTTTTGTTAACAGAAGAAATAAAACAGAAGATAGATAAAGTCAGTGATCCAGAATGAATATTTGGTGCATGCACAAACTCACTCTGCATAGTAGCATGACCACGATATTTAACCCAACACAAGGTAACCCATTTGTAAGAAGAAGCTAGTACCATTGGATAAACACTCTGCAAAATTCAGTAGAATTCAACCACTTATGTTGACCAAATATAAAAAAGCATAACCTCCATTCTTATGTAGCACAGTCATTATGACACTAACAATACACGTCTGTAAAACTTGAAATATTTGTGTACATGAGAGTGTGAATAATTATGTGCTGTTGCAAGATTATTTTATGCATAAACTTTGATAAAGTTGAAGATTACTGGCTTCTGGAATGTGACAGCATGTATTCCAGTAAATACCGACCAAAAGTTTGGAGGAACATTCCTTTGAAAGACTGGAAAATATCCATAAGACTGCATGGTGACATATCCCAAGGGAAAGTTTTCTTTGTGGTCACCACCATAAGAATCTCAAATTTCTGAATTCTGATATGCTTTTAAAAGGGAAATACTATACAATAATATTGTTCTTATATGATACAATAAGAATTATTTGGATTTAAGAAATATTAATTTCTACAGTTATCATACAATCAAAACAGAAGTTAGAAAAAATGTATGCACATATCCATTTTTATGTATGTCACTCAAAAACCATTGAAAAGATTCTCATTACATTTGACATTTGGGGGTTTTACATTGTGCCAGAATATTCAAATTAAGATTAAAATTGGATGAAAATAACTGTCATTTTACATGGACATCTATATGTATTCTTGTGCATATCTTGAGCACAGTTCACTCAATATTTAATCAGATAAAATGCTCCTCCCCCAAATAGGTTGTTCAGCCACATGAAATATACATTTTATTCCAAATAACTTTCTCTGTAATTCACATGTTTGGAATAATTTTGACAAAACTCCATATTGTAGGTCTCTGATCATCTGACCCAGCTGTTTTATACTGTTTAAGACAGCATCAGAAGTGTGCATTCGTGAAACGAAAATCCAGAGACAATAACAGGACAAAGGCACAAGAACTATTGCAATATCTGCACATTTCCTAACTTGCTGAGTCAACAAATGGTATAGAGAATCTTTTTTGTTATTGCAATGAGTGTTATTGTAACATTATTTACAGAAATAAATAAAATAGTTGCAGTTTCTTCACTGACTACTGTGGCTTTAAGAGAACTGAAGTCTCTTATTTTATAACTTTTTTGAAACTCATAAGTGAAAGAGACTTGCATAACTTTTTGATTAGTGAAAACTAATTAAAATTGCCTTGGCCACTGACATTGCCATCAAAGTAAAGCCCAATGAGAATAAAATGAACTGGTATTAAAATGTTCAGTGACACAAACCAAATACAAGCATGTGCATTAGGCTACTTGTTATGGTCAAATGTGTGCTCAGGGTCAGTTTAGTATTCATGAACCATGTTTATTATGGGAATGAGTAGTTCATAACATATAACTTCATATAACTTTGAAATTATAATGAATGTACTAGATAAGAATGGATATTAATAAAATGGTAGTTTGTATTATCCAGGGTGATATCCAGTATTTCAGCTGGACAACTTGGATAATACGAGTACATATTAATATCAAGAATTTTCTGGTGCATTGATTGCAAATTCTTGATATTGTAAATGGCTGTAGTTGTAAAAGCAAACCACTAACTGGTGCAACCAAAGCAATGGCAGCAATCTTGGTCAGATCCGGTGGGATGCATGTAAATGTGAAGACTACTCAACTTGTGTGTCATAAAGTGTAGGTCTTAAAGCAATGCTCAGTTAAAATACTTTTGTCATGATAGAACAAATAAAAAAATCAATCTTCTAACATCTGCCCTTTTTAAATCAAACTAATTTAATGATATTTCACTTTTAAAATGTATAATTTAAAATATATTGCTGCAAATTCATGAAATATTATTTTAGAACACAATCATAATCACTTCTTTTTGTTTGATCATGATTCTCAATGCAACGGCAATAACATAAATATAATTATGATGACTGCCCATATGATAAGAAAATTACATTGTCACATTCAGAAATAAAAGAACTGTTATCTGCTAATATATATTTTCTAGATCTTGAAAAATCACCCCCCACCCAAAAAAAATGTAGCAACAAATTTATGGTTTTTCCATTCTTTCTCCATGTACAACCTCAAATATTTAAAGTGCAATTATGTCATTTCCCATGATCCTCCTAAGGCAACTTCTAATTTAATGTGATTTAATGCAATGGTAAGATAAGGGCTTCTGGGGCGTGACTTCAATCACTTTGGTAGATAGGTACCATGGTTTCAGAGGAACTTGCTGCAGCCATCTTCTGCCCTGAAGATGGAGAGTGTAGTTTTCTCTGAAACCAAGGTACCTATCTACTGAACCACACACTATCACATCCCAGGAGACAATAATCTTAACATTCACTGCCATGTGAATCTAAAATCTCATAATGCGGTAATGTTTCCATTTCCTCAATCTAGATCTATCCTGTGAATATTTATGATACTGGTCTTTACTCTTTAATGTAACATGTAGAGTTTATGGTTATATTACAGGTAGGATTATCAACAACATTGATCTAGATGATGAAACCATGACAGCATATCTTTAGTATGAATTATATATTATTTTACTTAATTGCTTATTGGAAGTTATGGGAAAATGTAACAACACTGAATTAATTTACATACAGAAAGATTTGCACTACTGTGAAACATTTCAGCTTAGGGAGAGAGGAATTTTTAGTCACTATTATTATCAATGGAAGCTCTTGCTTCACAGTAAAGCTTTAGTATATAATAATTCTTATGTTCATATTACTTTTTAGTTTCCAAGATGTTATTTTATAACCAGGAAGATTTTCAAAATTTTACCTTAAGTTATTTGGTGTTATGACATAAGAAATATCTAAAACACAAGACATTTTGACATGATTGAATAACTGAAGATCTGAAATAAAACTGGTATGAACAATAAGGAATATATGAGCAATCCTAATGCAAATTGTAATTTGGTTTCATGACAAACACTGCATAACACAGCTGTTTCCAGATCTTCAGTATGTGCTCAGTTATGCGTGTATGATAGATGCAATAGTTCTGACAGACACAGTTTCCAGTCTAGTCCACCACTTACCCAAAGCTGATTGATGGTCATCCCTATGCCAGCCTTGTCTAGGTGAGATATAATACATGTTGCAGTGCTATACCACTCAGTATCATGGACACACACACACTAACACACTTACTCACACCTACATTCATAACTGCACACACTTGAATTTAATGAAGAACACTGATATGCTGCAGTACTTCACATTTTCCAATCAGGTGGTTTCTATGCTTAATAATGTTTATTCTAACTAAAAGCTGTTATGTTTTCCACACTTCAAGTTCTCAATTAGGTTCTAATATTCTAGTCTATGAAACCTGCATGACATTGTTATGTTTTCAGATGCCAGATTCTAAATTAGGCTGTTATATTTCCAGTGCTCAGATCCTACATTGGGCAGTTATGTTTTAAGCCTTCAGATTTTAAATTAGGATCTTATGTTTCAGTGTTTAGATCCTAAATTTTATTGTCATGCCTTCAGTTTTTACATTCTAAATAAGGCTGTTATTTTCCCAGTCTTCAGATCCTAGTTTGGACTATTATTTTGTCAGTCTTTAGATCCTGAATTTGGCACTTGTCAGACCTCGGGTCATAAATTATTGTTATGTTTCCTGATTATAAGTACCAAATTTCTCTCTCATATTTTCAATTAATTTTTCAGTCTTAAATTACAATTTTTCAGACTTTAGGTCATGAGTTGGACATTATAATCTCAATGAATTTGGTTTGATTCATTCTGGTCCGTCACTCTAACAATATTATAAAAGATAAAACAACACCGTCCAGTGTAACTGTTGAAGATTTTACTACTTCAATTCTTCATGCCTTTACATGTTTCTGTCCCTATAGACCATCATCAGAGGGACATCGATACTCTTTGGAAACCACTATTACAATGGGTGTTCTGAATGTTAGAATATATACATATACAATATTTGTAATGTAAATAAAAATTTAAACCTATATAACAAAAGTTTTAAAAACTTTAGTATACCAAGACAACCACTGTAGTTGTGAAAAAAAAATTATGGATTTTGTATATATTGTGCATTAAAAAAATTGTATGTGTATATATTTTAACATTCAGAACACCCATTGTAATAGTGGCTCCCAAAGAGTATCGATGTCCCTCTGATGATGGTATCTAGGGACCGACACATGTAAGGGTGTTAAGAATTGAAGTAGTAAAAACTTCAACAGTCACACTGA